TACTTTAAAAAAAAATGTAATGATTTATTTTAAATTGTATAATAAAGATTTACGCATTATTTGTTATTTGTTTTCATTTTTAAAAGAAATATATACTATAATATTTCAATCTTAATATATTATTAAGAATATTATATTTTTATTTTAAATATATCAAATAAGTTATAGCCTATTATGTAAATGGAGTAATAAACTTAAAACAAGAGCAATTAACTACGGAGTATCAAACAAGCAAAGTGTGTATAATCATGTCATCTTAATATTTGAAATGATCACTCTAAGTTCGGTCAAGATAGTTGTCGATGATATCATATTGGTCTACACAAGTAAGCATAAGTAACATTTCCAACATTGTTGGTTTAGGATGTCATAGTTGAAAACGTTGCTAGATGTTTGATTGGTTAACCACGCTAACTAACTAGAAAATGCCACATTTATAATTGTCCAACCTTATGAAGTAAACTATATTGAGTTTCAAAAATGATTCATTGACTATTAATATTTATCAAATTTTTATCATCGACTTTCAATTTCACCATAAATGGTCCATGAACTATAAAATTTTGTTTCATATTTGGTCATCTGGTTAAATGTTCATTTATTGAGTGTTAAATTTAATGGTAATTATTAGAATGTAAAAATTTGACTTGTTATTGAGATGTGCAATTTGGTTTCATAAACTTCATGAGGTTCATCATTTGTGAGAAAGTGAACAAGAAGTTGATACATAAGCTAATTTGGACTACACTATTGTTAAATCTCAATGCCAAATTAGAGGCGATTACATTATTTGTTTCAACATCCTTAAATATACACATTTTGAGAGGTAATTCTACTAGCTAATTTTTACATTATTACCATTAAATTTAGTGAAATTAATCAAATATTTAACCGGATGATCAAAATTTGAAGAAAATAAATAATTAAGGGAAAGTCGATGTTAAAATTAATAAAAATATCAATAGTTAATGGATCATTCATAAAATTAATATACTAACTATAATCTCTATCACTTTGCGCACACTTAGGCCATGTTTGGTTATTTGCGGATCTGTCATTTTTGACGATTTGACCATGTCAAATCGTCAAAAAAAACATTTGGTTAAACAGCGGTTTGTTCAAAAACGCTACAAAGTGCAATGTTTGCAGTTGGCGTTTTGGAAAAAATTAAAATTTTTCCAAAACGTCCCTGTTAAAAAAAAAAAAATTTAAAACTTGTAGTTGAGGAGCCGAAACGGCTCCTCAATGTTGCCCATCTGGGATGGGCAACGAATTAGTGGAGCCTTGAGGCTCCTATATCCCACGATGTGGGACGGTGGGAAAAGTGAGAATACAAGAGGGCTTATTATTATTATTATTATTATTATTATTATTATTATTATAAATTATAATGTATACCCTTATGGTCATTTTACATGTTAACCGCTAATCTAAACAGTTAATTTTACCAAATATTATTTTACAAACCGCTAATACAATTTGCTGGTCAAACCCGATAATACAATCAGCTATCTAATAACCGCTAACACAATCCGCTACCGCTAATCGTTGATAACCAAACTGATATTCTCAATACAATTTAGGTTGTCAATGTCCTATAATTTTTTTTACCCCACGAATTGTATTTTGATTTTAGTTTACTTGTTTGTATTGACTTTTTGGTTGATACCAAATATAAAATTGACCACAAGTTGGGTTGAACTTAGGGTCCGTTTGGAAACCAGGAAAATGACTTCTGGAAAATGTTTTCTGGAAAATGAGTCATTTTCCGGAAAACATTTTCCTTTCCGGTGTTTGGTTGCATTCTGGAAAACTGTTTTTGTGTGTTTGGTTCATTTTCTGGAAAATGAGTAGAATTGTATAATTAAACATTTTAATTATTTTATTTAGAATATTACAACATGTATAATAATATATAATAATATAATATTAATTTTAAATATAATAAAAAATAGCTAAGTTTTTCAACAAAAAAAAAAAAACTAATAATATATCAAAAATATTATGGTGGTGGTGGTGGTGTAGTGGTAGTGGTGTTATTCGTTATATAATAATAATAATAATAATAATAATAATAATAATAATAATAATAATAATAATAATAATAATAATAATAATTGGTGGTGGTGTGATGGTGGTGGTAGTATGACGATGGTGTGGTGGTGGTGGTGGTGGCGGCGACGGTGGTATGGTGGTGGCGGCGGCGGCGGCGGCGGTGGTATGGTGGTAGTGGTGGCGGCGACGGTGGTTGCGGTGGTATGGTGGTGGTAGTGGTGGTGGTGGTTGCGGTGGTATGGTGGTGGTGGTGGCGGTGGCGGCGGTGGTGTGGTGGTGGTGGCGGTGGTATGGTGGTGGTGGCGGTGGCGGCGGTGGTGTGGTAGTGGTGGCGGTGGTATGGTGGTGGTGGCGGCAGCGGTGGTATGACGGTAGTGGTGGCGGCGACGGTGGTTGCGGTGGTATGGTGGTGGTGGCGGCGGCGGTGGTTGCGGTGGTATGGTAGTGGTGGTGGCGGTGGTGTGGTGGTGGCGGCGGTGGTATGGTGGTGGTGGCGGCGGCGGTGGTATGACGGTAGTGGTGGCGGCGACGGTGGTTGCGGTGGTATGGTGGTGGTGGCGGCGGCGGTGGGTGCGATGGTATGGTGGTGGTGGGGGCGGTGGTATGGTGGTGATGGCGGCGACGGTGGTTGCGGTGGTATGGTGGTAGTGGCGGCGACGGTAGTGGTGGCGACGGTGGTTGCGGTGGTATGGTGGTAGTGGCGGCGACGGTCGTGGTGGCGACGGTGGTTGCGGTGGTATGGTGGTAGTGGCGGCGACGGTAGTGGTGGCGACGGTGGTTGCGGTGGTATGGTGGTAGTGGTGGCGGCGGCGGTGGTGTGATGGTGGTGGTGTGACAACGGTGGTATGGTGGTGGTGGTGGCGGTGGTATGGTGGAGATGGCGGCGACGGTGGTATGTTGGTAGTGGTGGTGGTGGTGGTATGGTGTTGATGATGTTGGTGTAAAAGTTGGAAAATGACTTCCCCCAAAAAAAAGGGGAAGTCATTTTCCATAAAATTGCCTTCCTTTTCCATTGACTTCCACCCCATTTTCCTTTGACCAGTCATTTTCCAATGTAACCAAACACCAAAACCCCGGAAAATGACTTCCAGAAGTCATTTTCCGGGTTTCCAAACACACCCTTATATTGCCAAACAAATTAGTACTATACAGATTGAATCCATTATTTAAAAAATGATTTTGATTTATAACCAAATCTTAACTGGCTTGATGTTATACAGGAGTACAGGACCATCCCACCCAAAAAAGAAGAAAAAAAAAAAAAAGAGTTCAGAATGTAGAAAAGGTCGGAACCGGCAAAAATTGTAAACGAACGGAGATTCGGGTATGGTTTCGAATTTTACAAAACAATTAGGTGTACCTACCATGTGCAGTACCGTTGCCACCTACACTATTGCCTCCCTATTGGCTATTGGCATTGTTTTATAATATGAATTCATTAATACAACAAATATAAGAGCACGTGCCACATAGGAGTGAAAGGTGGAAAAAACAAAATTAATCTGACAAGAATTAAAAAAATAAAAATTAAACAGGTAACGCACCAATAGACGTATGTATTGCATGCACCTGTGTCTCTAGCACACGTAGACAGCTCAAAAGCTTTATTTTCATTTATGAAAATGTGAACTCCACAAAAGTACTTCACTTGCATGAGAAAAAAAATCAAAAAACCCCCATTTCCCATCAATTTTCAACCTCAAGCTTTGATTTTTTGATCTAAAAAATCACAAATATGATTGCTCTAATGCAATGTTTTGTTGAAAGAATAAAAACAAAGTGAATAAAATATAATTTCAATATGAAATAAAATAAAATATTTTTATATTATTTGATTTGCAACGAAAATAAACAAGGAATTATAGAATGAATCATGTTTATGTGGTTGGTTAGACCAAGAAAATAGAAAAATAATATTATTGGGAGAAGAAAAAGAATATTATTTAAATAATTACAATATTCTTAATTAAAATAAAACACATACAAATATATAGACAGTCACCTACCATAAAATAACAAAATACAAAATATAATAAAACTATTATATTATTTCAAAAGCAATTCTTAATAAATAGATATCGAATAATAAAATACTATTACCGATGAACAAAATAATACACACTACAAGAAAAATTGTGTATATATTGTCTTTCAAGATTTGTAGTTGATATGGAAAATGAGTCCATGTATTTCTAGCGTATAGTCGGTATAGACAGCGTATAAAATGCGTAGAAATTGTATTAAGGTGTATGAACCGTCGAGAGGGAAATATAGAGAATGACTTGTTTTATTCATCTTTTAGATATAGGGGAGAATGTTTTGAGAGAGAGAAAGAGAGTAGAGATGAGAGGGAGAGTCCCCTAAAATAAAGGGCTAAGGCCCTTTATATATGTCCAAGTGTGATAAGGTTGATTTTGACCTGACTCGGACCATAACTCGAACCGTTTAATCCCGACTCGATTACAAAAGGACATATAGGGAAGTAAAAATCTAGATATATTCCCTACCAGTAGTGTTAAAGCAATAGGATCACAATGAGGGGACTCTTTGTGTGTAATGAGCAAAAGTCTAATCTTTGTTAGTCAATTGAATCACCATAATTAACCCCTTTACAAATTGTTGAATTAGAATATAGAGGTGTTAGAGATGAGAGATTCCATATTTTGTCACAAGTATTAAGCAATACGACATAAAAATGGCCATAGAAAATTTATATGATTTATTTTAAATAAATTAAGAAAAAATATTTTGAATCTCGAATATTTGTAGGAGGTTGTTAGGTAGGATGGGTTTGAGTTAAATATGAAATTTTAAGGAAGGAAGGTTTGAAATGATAGTATGTGAGTGAAAATGGAAGTCCATCCCCATTCCCCACCGAATAATAACCGCCAACTAATTCAACAGCCCATCCAACGACTTTATACTACATTTTATTATTATATATTCCTTTTCTTCAAAGTAAGATATGAATGTTAATTTGCCTGCCTACACCATCCTGGAGGAGGGAGTTTTTCCTCCTCTCCTATGAACTATATTTTTAACACAATACATCGATCGGCCGAAATTAAAATTTTGTGAAATTATCCACATATTTGCTATATATTATTCTCCGGGCAGGCAGGTATTAGTTACAGTAATCAATTGGTTTTGCTTTTTTGCATTCAGGAGTAATATATTTAATTTAATTTCTTCGTGAAAATTAAGATTATCTATCATAGCCTGCATTTCTGATGTCTGAACACATTAATTGCTGTGCATGTATGTTTACGAGGTTGATTGATGTGTGGGTGGCAGGGTAGGGATGGGTTGTGTTAGCTTTAGATTCTGGGATGATTGTGTAAATCTCCTAGACTTGGAAGCAATGTGGATGGACCCTAATGTCTCTGCGGAATGGGTTAGTGTTGGCGAGACCAAAGGATCAAAAGTTCATCTATCCCGCAATCCTGATGGTCAGCCTTACTTGACACAGACCGAGATGAAGGTATCATATGTGTTTGTTTAATTTAATTAACAAACAAATTACCAACATATATACATTTATTTATTATTGCATCAATCAATCATCACACGCCAACACCCATATATGTAACTACCAATTCTCTTTCTTTGTATAACTTTGTCTCCACAGGCTGTATCGAGTATTATTGTTGGAAGGCATTTTGTTTCGCAGATAGATTCGGTAATAGTTTTTGCATCTAATTAATAGGCAGTATTATTATTATTATTATTAAGGATAAGGATTTCTGGAAATTGTTGAACTATTTTTCATCCGATCCTCATTCAATTCAGCAGCTGTGAATAGCTCACATAAATATTGTGCAGGACATGCTTTGTGCAATTGCTGAACTTGAAAGTGGCAAGCAGCCACTTGCTATGCAGTACAACAAAAAGACAAAAGAAGTTACTATGGGACTCATGCAGCTCTCGCAGAAAACTGCCGAGTGGATAGTCAGGTAATTAATGATAATAAAGTTTTTTCTTTTCTTTTAATTAAATTCATAGAAAAGCTGCCTATATGCGTACGTGAAGGACAATGTTTAAGATGGAAGTTTGTGCAGTGAAATGGGGTTCCGGATATATGACGTGGCAGAGAACTCAACAATGTTGTACAAGCCTTTTGTTAATGTGTATCTTGGTGCTGCATATCTTAAGTGGCTGTCATGTCATGATCAAAAGTAAGTTGTGGAAGATAAATTGGATTGCTCAGCTCGTGCTTGTTTTACTTATACTTCCTTTTATGTATCTTGGTATCTGCAATATAATGCTGCTGGAATCTGAATGTTTTTTTTTTTCAAACCGTAAAATATTAAGAACAGAGAAAGAAGTGAAGAATTTATGGTCAGGGCATACAAGGGCGGTGTTAAGAAGGCAGCTCACAAGTCAACTTTAGGGTATTGGAAACGATACCTTTCTGTCAAGGAAAGCCTTCCATCCAGGTTATTTCTTCCACTGCATGCCCGCCCTTTAGCTTCATTGGCTTTGCAGTTTTCTGCATGTCCACCTGTCACTTTCCTTGCCTTTGATAACTTCATCAAAAGTCTTCAAATTAAAGGAATACAAAGTGAAGTGGCAGTATTATTAAGGCTTGTGAATTTTGCACGTGCACATCTGTGGAAATGCAATAGCAAACAAATATGAAACTTGTGAATATTTTTTAATGTTTATAGCATTACATACAGAACTTAGATGACATCTTTCTAGTTTATCCTTTTCATGGTCAAGTATAAAACTTGTACTAAACTCATCATGTAAATATCCTCGTGTTTACAAGAGTAGTATCCACAGACTTCTGATAATGCATTATATTTTATGCTAATAAATAAATGATATTCTTTTAGTTATGCCTACCAACCAACCTGTACTTTTTTCATTGTCAGGAAAATCTTTGAAGTTAATCCTTTGCCTTATGCTCCTTCAACATCTGCTGCTGGATCAGAAAAAAAAGGTAGTCTACATATTGTTCATTCCATTTGCGGCTGCTATATTATTGTTTGCATCTCTGGATTTCCCCGGCCACCTATATTGCTTGTTGCTCTGCTCTAATCAACATATATATAAAATTTCTTCTGCAATTGTTTTCATTTAGTACGCATGCAATACAGAACTAGGATCCAATCTGCTTCTTAAATGTTATGTTGCAGCTAGCTTTTGATGAACATTATGGTTCAGATCCTTGTAACCAGCTGGATTATTTAATCTTCTTAGTATGGTTAATAACATTGCCAAATTAATTTTTAAATTTCTTTTAATTTATACTTTCGAAAAAAAAATACAATTGCTAGCTTCTCACTAATATACATGCTGGAGCAGGTACTTGGGATTCTCGAGCTTCAGTCCAAGACATGGAAGCAATGTGGAATCATCCTAGTGTGAGTAAAGAATGGAACAAGACAGGGGAGAAGAGAGGAAAAGTCCGATTTTCTCTTGACAATGAGACAAGACCTTATCTTTCCAGGGTTGAACTCAAGGTAATTAAGGTTACATGCATTTTCTCCTTATTAATACAAACACTTGAGAGCTAAGTCTTTTTTTTTTTTTTTTTCCTCTCTTTTCTCTGTTGCTATTTTTTTTTTTGGTTTCATATTCTTCGGTTTAAACACATGATGATGAAGAAGTTGTACACTAATTAAATTGTGTTTTCTTGTCCACTCCCTTAATTAAATTGTGTTTTCTCTTCTGCTCCCCCATTACAGGATTTAAGGAATTTTATTTTATATATGTGTATGAGTGTATGACAAGATAGATGTTGTCCGGATGGATTATAAGATGGAGTTTTAAAATATCATCAGTTGGACTTGCTTCTATGACTTCAGATTAGCTAGGTAGATGCAGGCCGGATAAGAGCAGTGTGGACATATATGCCCATGCATTTCTATTTACATATTTCCCTTGCAGTAGCTTTTGGTGCCTTGTGTGTTATCGCAAAGTGATGAAGCTAGCATAGCTAGGAGAGATGCAATGCATATATGCTTTATACGAGTGGTTTCCACAATACTGTACTAATTATATATAAAGATATAATTTTTGCACATCCAACTTGATTGCCTTCAAATCTGATCTGATCTGCTGAGAAAATGTTGCTACCTTTATTCCAGGCAGTTTCAGAAGTCATTATTGGCAAGCACTTCAGTAACACAGGAATAAAGCCTGTAAGTATCAGTGGTTTACATACATACTCATCATTGGAATTAAGCATGTAAGCATTAGGCATCTAATTGTGTAGTTTTGACAATAATAATGTTAAATCGGTCTCATTATTACTTGGAAAACTGAACTGATTATGCACATACATACTGCGTTGCTGAAGATTTGGGGTTTATGGTTTAGAAGATAGGGCCCTTAATTAGCTTGGTTAAAATGTATCAAAGAATAATATTCTCTCATGCATGCATGCATCCAACCCCTACCTCCTCAGCTCGATCATTTTGCAGACTGTTTTGTGTGCTATTGCGGAGACTGTGTGCATGCGTTATGTAAATGGAATTGGGCAACGCATTGGATTAATGGGAATTGACTACCCCACAGCACACTGGCTTTACAAGTACGTATAATAATATGTGAGAAATTAAAATTACTATATATATATATATATATAGTTGATACTAACATATATTATAGAGTTAATACCCAAAATCGTCCTCGACTATAGTGGTTTTTCTCAATTTCGTCCTAAACGACTTTGGTGACCTAATATCATCCCAGACTTTTGTGTTTCGCTCAATTTAGTCCCAGACTTTTATATTTTTGCTCAATTTAGTCCCTCATTTGTTATTCTGTCCATTTGGTGTTAAATAAATAGACAATTCAGTAATTTTAATATTGGCATCTCTTTACTCATAGACACGTGAACTGCGAAATCTTTTTTTTTTTTTTTTTTTTTTTTTTTTTTTTTTTACGAATTACTCCCAGAATATCTCCTAAAACTGTGAATATAAAATTTGATTTGTAGGTCCGGGAGTAATTCTGGGTGTAATTCGTACAAGAAAGAGGAATTTCGCACTTCACAAGTTGAAAGTAAAGAGAGATCAATATTGACATTACTGAATTGTCCATTTATTTAACACCAATTTGACGAAATAACAAATGGAGGACTAAATTGAGCGAAACACAAAAGTCTGGGACGATATTAGGTCACCAAAGTCGTTTAGGACGAAATTGAGAAAAACCACTATAATCTAGGACGATTTTGGGTATTAACTCATATATTATATTATGCATTGCTCATTAATTAACTGTACCAGTTGATTGGATGATTGTCGTACTTAGCTTTAGCTTGGTGCTGAATTGTGATCTAGGGACTTGGGCTACAAGGTTTATGTTGTGGAGTCAGTTGAGGATCTTAGAAAGCCATTTGAATCCATGTACTTCGGTGCAGCCTACTTGGCCTGGTTATCACAATACGATAGAAGGTTAGTTAGCTGGTTATTTCTCAATCTTCTTTTGGTATATATATTATGTACGTACCTACCATGCATACATTTAATTTCTCATCATGTGTTATGTTGCATTATATTAATAGGCAAAGGAGTCCAGAGTTTATTGTTCAGGCTTATCTCTCAGGGCCGCAAAACGTGAACCTGCAAGAAACAGGTCCACATTGGTTAAAATTTCAGGAAGCATTAATCCGTTATGAAGATTTAAACAAGTAAGCTATGCATTATCGTCTCGTCTAGTTTTAATTTGCATCACCTAGGCTAGACTAGCCAGAATGCATTATTTTCCCTCTGTTTTGACAAATTAAATGACAAAGATGCGCTGCCGTCCCAATTGTGTACAGGGAGTCAGGTTCCTGCAACATTTTGTGAGTGAAAATTAGCAGCAACAACGTAACAGTCTCCGGAGAGCGAGCTAGCGAAGAATCCTTGCTTCCTAAAAATATTATGTAGTATATTATAATAATAATTTTTGTTTCCCCCTCCTGTATTATTATTAGAATAACTAACAGATTTAAATTCTCATATCAAACAAATTAAACACTATTTACAGATTTCATTACCCAAAATACATTTTAATTGTTTTTTAAATCTCTTAAAATTGTATTGATAAATATCTATATACGTGTTAACAGTTTTATTTTGGGAGTTAATACACAATCATTAGATAATTATGAATACAATTTGATTTGCATTGGTATTTGATCACTTATGAATAACGTAACATTGGTTTGTATGTTGATTTGAATTAAATGTATGAATAATTAATTAAGTGGGAAATGGCGGTATTTGCGGATCATGCGATGGATGGATCAGGCCGACTGTATTAGTCGCATTCAAAGATATGCTATGTTGACGAGGGGATTGTCTTCCTTGGATTCCAGCAACCTCACTTCTTCTTAATTCATGAATGTATTCAATTTCTTCTCACCATTTAAAAAAAGGATTGCTTCAAAGGTAACAAAACCATTTACACATGCTTTCACAGCACATATCGCTTGAAAACTTAAGAATTATTATCGATTTCTTAAATCTCAAAAAATAAAGTGGAGTATTGTATATTGAAGTGAGTGCCTGAGCGAGTGGCAGTTGGGTAAAAGGTGAGGATTAGAGGGACAGGTTGGGAATTTGAGTAAAAAGAAGAGAAGCGCGGCTTGACTTAGGAATGGGGGGGCGTGAGACAATTAAGTTGGGTAAATCGCCGAGGCGTCATCGTCAGAATCCCCATCCCCGTCGTTGTATTCCCCAAAGCATCCATTCTTCATGCTCTAAAGTCCGAACCGCATCACGCACTTCACTCTTTATCAAAATGCCGCCGCTTTCACTCTGAAGCTCAATCTGTAGTATGCTCTTTCTTTCATGGTAAACTCATATTTTTATTTTGACTTTAAATCCATTCCATCTCTTATTATTGTTTTTCTAGGCAGGATACGCATACTGGTATATGGTTACCCGGTTGTGGTGTTCAATTTGGATAATATTTTTCAGATACTGAATAAACAAGCTCTCTTTCTCTCTCTCTACTAAGAAATTGGACCTTAAAATGCTTGCTTCTTTCGTCTGATTGACTAGACTCGACAGTATAGGCATTACTCTCCTAGCGCTGCCAAGCTAGGCAGATGCTCAAAAACCAACTGAAGTTTATTAAATTTGTTACTCCATATATCACAATTTTATGTTTCCTGCCTGATTTGGTTCAATATTGTCTTCGCTTTTGTACACGGCAATGACAGTGAATCTCTTTTTTTATATGTTTCCACCAGCGTATTAGTTCACATCATTGGACTTGGGTTGCTCTTGTCCCACTACTGAAATTGCATTTTGCTGTTTCTCACATCAAGCTTCACACTCACCTTGATGCTTGCTCAACTCTGAATCCTTGATTTTGAGATATATGTTTTCTGTAATTGCGAATAATCCTGTGCTGGAGCTGGAGCGAATTGCTTATTCAAATTCATTCTGCATCCCCTTACTTGTTTCCAGATTCCTAACAATAGGTGAGCTATTGTGGCATCGCTTCACTTGTAAGAGAGCTTAGATCTACTTTTTGCTGTGATGGAGCAATCAAAGGGTCAAAACCACTTGCATTATAACGCTAGAGAACACAGCAATGCACAAGTAATTCCTGAAACCCAGGTTTTTAAGAGGGACCTACCAGAATATGATAATCCTGATTTGAACCATCAAGAGACTAAGCCTGTGCTTAATTACTCAATACAGACAGGTGAAGAGTTTTCTCTTGAATTCATGCTTGACCGCTTTAATACCAGAAAGCCCCAGCTCCCAAATACTTCTGTTGATCCAAGTCATACACCTGGTTACTTGGAGCTAAAAGGTATTTTGGGAATTGGTCATACTGGATCCGAGAGAGGTTCAGATGTTTCCATGCTTACTACAATGGAAGGTCCAAGAGATATTGATGAAAGAAACTCTTCCTTATTATACCAAGACAAAAGTAACAATGGGTCTATGCTACCTGCACAACAGACTTCCTCAGACCACAATGGCTTTCGATCACTTATCTATGCCTCATCTGGAGCATCTGATAGTTTAGTGGCACGGCTTAAAATCCTTTGCAGCTTTGGTGGAAAAATACTACCTCGGCCAAGCGATGGAAAGCTCAGGTATGTTGGAGGTGAAACACGCATTATCCGTGTAAGGAAGGACATAATGTGGCATGAGTTATGGCACAAGGCTATAGCAATCTATAACCACACTCATATTATAAAATATCAGCTTCCTGGAGAGGATCTTGATGCTTTAGTTTCTGTGTCATGTGATGAGGATTTGCAGAATATGATGGAAGAATGTAATGTTTTAGATGATACAGAAGGAACAAAAAAGCTTAGGATGTTTTTGTTTTCTATGATTGACTTGGAGGATACTCATTTTAGTCTATCTAACTCTCATGCTGATTCTGAGATTCAGTATGTTGTTGCTGTCAATGGCTTTGACCTTGAATCCAGGAAAAGCTCAATTTTGCATTGTCTAGGCTCTTCTGCTAACAACTTAGCTGAGCTAGATGTGCAGAATGTTGAGATGGACACAGGTAAGCTACCACATTATGATGACGGTAAGCCGCAGAATTTGCAATCCACTTACAATTTGAATTCCTATATGCGGGTCTCTGAAAGTCTCATACCAAGACAAAATGGAATTTTGGCTCAGAAAGAAGATATTGAGGAGCAGCTGTTGGATGGATTAAGTGAGCAGCATTTACAAACTCGTCTAAAGCCAGTGAAATCAGATGCCAATGCTTCAGCTTATCAGGGAGGTGAAGCTCAAGGTGATCAAATATTATCAAATGAGCAGCTTTCTGCTTCGCATTTGGTTAATAAAAATGCTAAAGGTTACTTTCCCATTGAGAATGAGGGAAGGTCACAATATCCGATACAGATATCTTCTGCCCTCGAAACTGTTAGTCCTGAACTTCCTAGATCTGGTGGAAATAACTGTAGCAGTGCATCTGCTCTTGAACCTAGCAATTCAGAACCTGATCCAATTGATTTGAGCTTCTTTGAGCCCACTCCACCACCTCCTCCTCAGAGCGTTTTTCGCTCTGAGCGAATCCCCCGAGAGCAAGCAGAGTTGCTAAACAGGATATCAAAGTCAGATGATTCACACAATTCTCAGCTTCTTATGACCCATCCTCATCCTGATGTTGCACAGGCAGATTTCCTTGCAGAATCTGTTGAAAAAGTGCAAAACTTAAATTTGGTACAGAATGAGCAGACCATTCACACTGAAAACCCTCTATCTGCTGATCCTCAAACCACTAACAAAACTCAAAGGGTGAAGCAGGCAATACCAATTAGTCTGGATATGAAAGACAAAGCACATGAGAGCCCTGTTGTTCTCCAAGAAACAGTATCCGCTGAAAATGTTAGTAAAATTGTTTTGGTTGATGATACAGTGGAAGCTGGATCAAGGGTTAATGCTGTAAGCCAACTGAATACCGAGAAACACCATGAAGACCCGGGGAATAGTCTTCCTGACATTCATTGGAGAGACAGGGTTGGCAGTGAGCTATTGCCTAATAATAATCAAGGTCTTTCTAAACATTCAGACCAGATAGGGAATTATAATGGTGTTGTTACTTCAGAAGAACCATGTGTTGGTGGAGCTAAATCTGAGCAAGGAGACATCCTAATTGATATCAATGATAGGTTCCCTCGGGATATCCTTTCTGATATATTTGCACAAGCTATACTTTCTGGTAGTTTAAGTAACACTGGTTCAACATCTAAGAATGGAGCTGGTGTAAGTGTGAACATGGAAAACCTTGATCCAAAGCACTGGTCCTTCTTCCAAAAGTTGGCAGGTGATGAGTTTGCTAAGAGAGATGTTTCTCTAATTGACCAAGATCATCTTGGGTATTCTCCTGGGCTTCAAAAAATTGAGGAGGCTTCTTCACCATATGGTATAATGCCTTCTGCAGACGATAGAGTTTCCTTAGGCCATTTGGATCAGCAAGTTAATCTTGGTGAGGATAATCAGAGAGAATTATCAAGTGTTGGAACCAATTCTGTGATGTTGCATTCTGGTTATGGTCCAAACTCAGAGTATGAGGTATAATTTCTCTATGGTGTAATACATTATAGTCATTACCTGATATGGGTCTTATTCTGATTTGTGATTTTGATCGATTTCATTTCATGAAGGATGGAATTAGAAATATTGGACTGCCTCCTTTAGGACCTTTGGTGGATTTCGACATAAATTCTTTGCAGGTAAGATTTCAACATTGGTGTTCTTTTACTATGCAGATAAATGTTGTATTGTGAATTTGTTATATGCTTGAGAAACTTGTTGTTTGCTTAAGTCAGGATTAAGTTATTGTTTTCTGGCGTTGACTTCATTCTGTAAGCACAAAACACCATGAATGCATGTGCAAACTGGTGGTCCTTGAAGTCTTTTGCTTAAATAATTTTCTGTCCATGGATGCATGACACTCTAAAAAGTATTGCAATGCTTATGAAGATATGATATTTTTCTAATATTACTTTTAAATAAACCATAATCATTAAGAGCATCCTAAAATTCCAAATTCGTTATACAGCTTCACTTTGGTCTTTTTATGCAAGGGCAATGGTATTTCACATATTTATTTATTTATTTTAAAATTTTATTTTCAAAGCCTTTTTTTTTTTTTTTTTTTGCATTGCAGCTCATCGGGAATGATGATCTTGAGGAATTGAAGGAACTTGGTTCAGGCACATTTGGGACAGTGTACCATGGAAAGTGGAGGGGGACCGATGTTGCAATTAAACGAATAAAAAAGAGTTGCTTCACTGTGCGATCATCAGAGCAAGAGAGATTGGTGATCTTTCTTCAACTAAACATAAAACCAACGCAACTCTCCTTCCCCTTTTCTTTTCATTTATGCATTTAGAATAAACTTATTCCTGAGTTTCAGCGAGAGTCTTTTCATTAACTTTGTAAACCTGTAAGTTGCCTTAGAAAACAAATTAAAGGAGGATTAGATCCATAATTGTTAATTCATGTAAGTTCTTATTTAGTCTCTCATTTGTCACTTACTCTAGTTCTTGCTCTTCATATTCTTCTTGTTTCCAGACTGTAGAGTTCTGGAGGGAAGCTGATATTCTGTCAAAGCTTCATCACCCAAATGTGGTGGCATTTTACGGTGTAGTACAAGATGGAATAGGTGGAACTCTTGCTACTGTAACTGAGTATATGGTGGATGGTTCTCTAAGGCATGTTCTACTTCGCAAAGATAGGTACTATTCCCTCTGCTTGATGTCATTCTTTAAATTTTGGTGGTTGTATAGTTTTGGGTGTGTTGTAATCTCTAAACAACATAAAGCTGACTGTAAGTGCATGTCTGCAGGCACCTTGATCGGCGAAAACGGCTCATAATAGCTATGGATGCAGCATTTGGGATGGAATACTTGCATTCAAAAAATATTGTGCATTTCGACCTGAAATGTGACAATTTACTGGTGAACTTGAAAGATCCTTCGCGACCTATATGCAAGGTTATTTTGATGAGATTTTAAAACTGCTTACCTGTGATGAGCTCTTTTCTTTAGGATCAATTACCCTGATTTATTCTGATAAATTATGTTCTGTAACTATTTAATTTTAAGAGAAGTCGAGAAAAAGATGTGCTGATATTGCTATTATTTCGTTAGGTTGGTGATTTTGGTTTGTCAAAGATAAAACGGAACACCTTGGTCTCTGGTGGAGTTAGGGGGACACTTCCATGGATGGCTCCTGAACTGTTAAATGGTAGCAGCAATAAAGTTTCTGAAAAAGTAAGTTGTAATTATCAGTCTGTCAAATTTCTTCTCATACATAAAATTTCTTCCATTTACTGTAGCATCTTTTGCCTTACACTCTATGAACAGAAATTTCTTGGAGACTTTTCAACCTTTCCTCTTCTTCTATTTTCTATCTGAATTTCTTTATTATGGGTTACTATATGTTTTGATGGTTGGATGAATTCTTATTTTGTGTCTGTAGTCTAGTTTTCAAGCATATCAAGTAATCTTCTTACACTGATTTTGGATTACTGTTCAACAGGTTGATGTGTTCTCCTTTGGTATTGTCTTATGGGAGATTCTCACTGGAGAGGAGCCTTATGCCAACATGCATTACGGTGCAATCATAGGTGTGTTTCTTGTATGCCGTTTTTGAACAGTTGGTAGAACTAGTGTTGAATGCTTGTATGCATTTGAAACATAGTTAAAGTATGTTATGCATCATGCCTGCCTTGTGCCGGAGTGGTTATTGATTTAACTCGTATTTTGAATTAATTAACATGACATTCCTAATTGTGTGATATGCAGGAGGCATAGTGAGCAACACATTGAGGCCAAGTATTCCAAGTTACTGTGATCCAGAGTGGAGAAACTTAATGGAGCAGTGTTGGGCTCCAAATCCCGCATCCAGGCCATCATTTACAGAAATTGCAAGTCATTTACGGTCATTGTCCACTGCCGCCCAGACAAAAGCACCCAAGACATCATAACTATTAACTAGTTGTGGAGTAGTAATGTATTCGTTGGTTGTTCTGGTTCTGGGTATAATATAATTCCTCCCCTCCCCCTTTTTTGCTCTTCACTTTGGAACCAGCAATGGCCATTTTTGGGAACATATATGTATTTCTTTTCAAAAAAAAGTTTAGTAACATAGTCTCATACTCTCATTACACATGACTGTTTCCATCGTGGCCTAATATTAACAAGCTAAGTGGAGAACAGCTGCTCTTTGTTCATCCATGGACCATGACGGAGAGGAATTTAGCTCAGTGGTTTATTTTATTTTATCAACTTAAAATAACATGGCAATTGGGAGTAGACTCAATACAAGTTGGGAGTAGACCATGGCGGGAGGACAAGCTTTAAAATGGTTGAAGAAGACTCAAGACTAATTGAATCAGATGCATTCTTAATTATTCATTGTCTTAATACTTGTAATTGTGTTTCTTCTTTTGATCTTATTCTAAAAAATATCAAGAAAATAGTTGATGATTCTCTTCTCATGTGTTAATTTTACTTTTATTAAACGATTTACAAACACGATTAGTTGTTACTCTGAAAAGAAGCGTGTTCTATGCTAATTATAGGGAGTATTTTCATAATCTTCCCTTCTTCCTTTTAGAAACAGTTGCTTTGGAAGCTATAAATGAAATGAAATGTTTGTTTCTTTGTTTGAAAAAAAAACTGACATGACAATTATAATTTAGGAATAAAAAGGCTAAAAAGTGAAGCAGTAGTGTTGTTTCTAATTTAGGAAAGTTAATGGACGATAGGTAATTTAAGAGTCAAAACAAGGACAAATCATCTCTCTCTCGGTCTCTCCTACAAGTCGATGCCTGAAGGGAGGACAATACTACCACAAAACAAATAGTTTGTGACGAGGCAAGAAGAAGAAAAGTATAGTTGTAATGGAGTCGTCGTCACCGTTCAGATCAGATATCCTCCGAGGAAAAGTAGCCCTCTTGACCGGAGGTGGTTCCGGCATCGGTTTCGAGATCTCCACCCAGTTTGGCAAGCATGGTGCCTCTATCGCCATCATGGGCCGCCGCTCCTCTGTCGTACAATCCGCCGTCTCTACGCTCCAATCCCTCGGAATTCCCGTAAAAATCCAATCTTTCTTCAACCCCTGCTCCGTTCATTTCCTAATTGCATATACTATTCAACCACACTAATTTCATTTCGTAATTACATAGTAATTGACATTCTCTCTCTCTCTTTGCTAATCGTGTTTACATCTTAATTGGAATTTGTATGATTGGTAGAATGGTAGTTGTGGATCAAACTTGTGATGATTAAAGGGAAAATGAGTATTTACTTTCTCCTGCTCAGTATCTTCTACATCATCATCTTAATGTATACAGCTGGTTTCTCTGACAATTTCCAATAATTATAATATATTATACCATACCATTACCATACCAGGCAGTAGGTTTTCAGGGGGATGTGCGCAAACAGGAAGATGCAAAGAGAGTGGTGGAGTCCACTGTCAAACATTTTGGGAAGCTTGACATTCTTGTCAACGCTGCAGCCGGCAATTTTCTTGTTTCACCTGAGGATTTGTCTCCCAACGGTTTTCGAACAGGTTTTCTCTAACCACTGTTATATCAACATATACTCAAGTATTTGATGCAAAATTTTGATTTGGAGTAATGGCTTGTATTATCTTTTCTGTTTAAATATGTACTGTGTATGCAAATGCCCCTGATGAACCAACCTAAAGAAAAAGGTTTGTTCAACATATTGCATACACTGGATAAGGGGCTTGTTTGAATGTTATCTGAGCAGCATATTGCTTGTTAGTGAGAATTGCCTGGAAGATAGGCGTGCCAGGTGTATGACTGACATGTCCTTACGATTCATCATATTAAAAACATAGATGGCGATGATGTGTAGTGGTGTTTGTTAATTTAGCAGACAGAATTTCCAAATTTGATATACATAAATTGCTTCTCTCTTCCTTTTTTATTCTCTAGTGGTCTTCTCACAGTTAGTTTTCAATTTAAATTACTTGGTGCAGTGTTGGATATTGATTCTGTGGGTACGTTCACAATGTGCCATGAAGCTCTCAAGTATCTCAAGAAAGGAGGTCCTGGGAGAAGTCCATCTTCTTCTGGTGGAACAATACTAAATATTAGTGCCACTTTACACTACACTGCCTCTTGGTATCAAATCCATGTAGCTGCAGCAAAGGTTTGTGGTTGGCTTAATTTGTGTCCACTGTTCTGCAAACTTTTAGCTTTTAGCTTTTAGCTTTACACACCACCCTTGTTGCTGTCCCTAGGCTGCTGTTGATGCAGTTACTAGAAATTTGGCTCTGGAATGGGGTACTGACTATGACATTAGAGTAAATGGGATTGCACCGGGTCCCATAGGTGACACAACTGGTTTGAGTAAACTTTTACCTCAAGAGATGGATGGGAGTAATCGTGACCACGTGCCTCTTTACAAAGTTGGGGAGAAGTGGGATATTGCTATGGCTGCTCTCTACATTTCATCAGATGCTGGTAAGTGTGGGGTTTGGTGTTTGCATTGTTATAATACCTGTGCTGTGCTGTTTGTCTTAGCTTCATAATGTTGTTATTGAAACTCAATCTTGTATGACATGACATGACATGATGCTCGTCCTTGTATCTTGAAGGAAAATATGTAAATGGGACAACTATGATAGTTGATGGGGGACTCTGGCTTAGTCACCCTCGCTATCTGCATAAAGATGCAGTTAAAGAGCTTTCGCGAACAGTGGAGAAAAGATCAAGAGATGCACCAGTTGGTGTTCCTTCGAGCAAACTTTGATCTCCTCCCCTCCCCTCCCCTCCCCTCCCCTATCAAATACCAGCCTGCAACAGCAAGTACGGTGTCTGCTTTGCTTTGCAATGCAAGGAAAGGAAAGGAAAGGAAAAATAAAGGGAAGTAATATTTAATGCCCAATAAATTAATTGCAGAACTAGAGTGTGACCCATTTGAAATAGAACTACATTATTTACCTCCTATTCAGGATGGGAACTGTATTTGGCCAACTATTATCTTTTAGATTGGTATTGATGTTAATACTTATTGTTTCAAACTTTTAGCTATCCCATTTTCACGCAGCTACCTTACCTACCTCACACATTGAATATTGTTGAATGTTGAGTATCAGAGGTAATGAAGAAGAAATGTTACATCACATGCTTTTAACGCCCATCAACTTCTCGGAATCGAACCATGTTATTACTGCACATAATAGACACCTTTAACAACTCACTAGTGTATTTACATTACAAAAAGATTGCACTTTTGGAGGTTAAAATTTTGAATAATGATCAAGGTTGCCATCTCAATCTTTATTGGAAAGCCCATCTTGAAACAGAGCAACAGACAGATAAATCATTGTTGCATCAAAATTTATCATCCTAGCTACTATGTTTCCCAAATGCTAATTTCAGCTACCACTTGCATGCCACCAAACTCACTACAAAACTCTCAACCATCCTTCGTTTCCCAGTGTTTTCTCTCTCTCTCTCTCTGAATGGTAATTCCATCTACCATTCACATGCCACCAAACTCATGATGTTACTACAACTTAACTTCGGTGCAGGGGTGCGGGATACACATCGAGTGGTTCATAACGCAGGCGGTTATTATGAGGCAATGGTCCTTCCTGAAAACATTTTCACATAATTAGCAAAATTGTAAATATGCATAAAGATTAAAGCTTTTGACACTAATATCAAGTGGTAATTTTCCCATTCCTTTCAAGAGCAGCATCTGGTGAGATGAGCTGAGCTTGTCAATTCAGTGTTTACAGTTATATAAATATCCATGACATGATAGTGTTCTAATATCTAGCACGACTAGTGCACAGAAATTTATGGTTTGCAAGATACAGTTTAAGGTGGATTAATACTTTATGTTAAGCCAAAAATCCTTTGAAACAAGCTACCAATAGAGTTTGCAGAAAGCGAGCAGCTGTAAATCCATGTGACAACTAATTAATAAGAAAAAGTTATGTGTTAGATAGAATATCACCTCTTCCAAGTTTATTTGATAAGGCTTCACAAAATCTTCAAACATCACAGGTGATAACCCTTTCATTTTCTCTTCCACTTTCTGGGAAAGAAACAATGGAGGATGAATAGGAGGATATGCCATGTCTTACTAAAGCACACTAATATATGAATTAAAAAAGAGAGAGAGAGAGAGAGAGAGAGAGAGAGAGAGAGAGAGAGAGAGAGAGAGAGAGAAAAGGTTAACATACCAATCCTGTTATTCTTGATTGTTCTAGAAGCTCATTCACAATTATATCGAGAAAATGCCGGTTGGCCATCAACCCCTTCATTGCAAGCTCTTCTGTCTCTTCAATGTACTGTTATCAAAAATGAAACCAATTGTTATTTGACTAAAAAGCCAATAAGGTAAATATAGACTTAAAAGAACCACATGTAAAAAGTAAAAACAAAACAAATGCACTTTTTTTAATAGTACATGAACAGTTTTTTAATAATAGATAAACACACTTACTTTCTTCATTAACTATCAGTCTTAACCCGTACTTGATAAAGTTAGGCCTACAACTTCATAGTAGCACGAAAATGCACTTTTAATAATATAAGACACTGCTCTAAAATGAGATTCCTATGAGTTACCAATAGAGGGAGAGGAGAACCTAATGGGCATAACACAACTCCAAACAGCTAAATTGGTACTTTTTCTCCAAAGCAGAAATCCAAGGGGAAAAGTCACTGGATATATCTTGTGAAAACATAGAGAAGCGAAAGTAGAATCGATGCAACTAAATAAATATACATCACCAGGAATATAAAAAGTGAAGACCGAAAATTTGACCCATTTCAAAGTAGGAACAAAATGAACATAAAGAAGACAATTTCAAGTCACCCTTGTCAACTCCCGAGTAAATAGTTCAGATACTTCAACTGTCATATTCGCAGGAATTACATATGGATCATCCCACTGAAATCAGAAAAAATGTTAATAAGACATGTTAGACACTAGTGATTCAAAACATAAATGCAAAACATATTGTGTCATTTATTTAACAAAGATAAAGATAAAGAATAAAAAATAAAACAATACCTTATATTTTATTATCTCACCATCAGGATCATCCGGTCGATCACCCAACCCTACTTTCTTTGTCAAAGCAGTAAGCCCCAACCTAGAGTTCCTAGGACTTATCACCATTTCTCGAGCAATCTGGAGATAAGATGAAAAATGAGTTGGTAGGCAGGTTTCATGGTAACAAGTGCCCTAATTGCACTAAGATAAATCAATTGCCTGAGCAAGTGTTGGTGGGCATACACACAAACACAACACCTCTTTAGAAATTAGAAGGGCACTCGATTGGCAGAAAGCACATACTTACAAAACAGGCCAACATGTAGTCCCCCACCACCCCACCCCACCCCAACCCTTCTACATGAAATACAACTCATCAACTCCCTCCCTCTGTCCTGAACTGTCATGTTAGAGAAAACACGTGGAGCCATGGATTTGAGAAACTTTATTTAATATATTATTGACCAATTTAATTCAGTAGCTCCATCCTGGGCTACTGGCGTTTCAATATATATTATTTCTCAACTATCTTTAATTTCAATGAGGAGAGGGACATTGCTGGAAAGGAACCTATAAAAGCCATCATTGAATTCAATATTGTTGCATAAGAAATTTAGTTGCAATACATAGCTTCTTGATCATTAGTAGATGAAGGATGTAATGTACCTTTGTGATCTTTTCCATATCATCTGTGCCTCCATCAGTAATATCATCACCAAATACAATTCGTTCAGCACAACGCCCACCATGAGCTACCACCATTTGCATTTTCATGTAGCCAAAGGTTGTGTAACCTTGATCAACCATTTCCTCTCTAGGGTAAAAAACTGATATTGCAGTTTCCTGTTCCAAGCAACAAGCCAACAACCAGTAAGTTTGAGGGCAATGAAAGCATAATCAAACATGATCATATTTAGATGACCAGAAATTATACTTTTCCACCAGGTAGAAGCTGAGAAAATGCATGCCAATCAAATCTAGGGAACAAGTGTGCCAACACAATGTGACCAGCTTCATGTACTGCCAGCAATCTTTTCTTTTCAAGAGAGATCTGTTACAAATAATCTTAGGAAATGATCAACCATGTGTAACTCAGCTCTATTTGTTTGCAACAATGTGGAAGAATTCATACATTTTGTTCACACTTTTGCTGCTCTTCCTCTGTTAGAAGGACACCCATGCCTTCAAGCAACTGCTTGTCCAACACATCCATGATGTCCTGCTGGTAGATCCTAGAATGCCCTTTCCTTACCTGCATGTATATCCAAACCACCTTATGAATATTCATAAGAATATATAAAATATAAGTCATTCATCAGAGCATATATTTGCATTTACAGGTCTTTTGCACCTCAAAATTTGTAAGCATAGATTCATCAAGCACTACCATAAATGTTAGAGAAGGAAAGCACATTTCTTCACTTCTCATTTTGTGTTTTTTCCTTTATTCCCCTCCTCAAGAGAAAGCAGGAAATAAGTGTTATAAAAGAAAGGTTAGAAATTGTATACAAATTAAAATTGGAAAATGATTTTTTTGAAAAAAAAACAAAGAGACTTACAGACATTATTCCAGCTTCATTGACTAGATTTCTTATGTCTGCCCCAGAATACCCAACAGTGCGAAAGACAAGCTGCGGGATAAAGAAAAAAAATATGCTGTGAGCCCATTCAGTTTTGGGACATACAGGAGTAGAAACAGCCATGTGAACCAACAATGTACCACTTTGAAGCACATCAGAGGAAAAATAAAGTATATATAAATCATAAGGATGTTTGATAGACATTTGAATCCCAACAACGAAAGCATAAAAATGATATTAATATCAACCATTATATAAAACACCAGATATGGGGGAGAAACATATATACAGAAACGAAAAAGGAACGCATTTACTTTCTCAAAGCAAAACAGAAGCCTATTGCCAGCACTATTCAAACACCAAATTGAGGAAGAAAACAAACTGGAATTATAGTCAGAAAAGCAACACATTTACTTTCTCGAAGTCAACGTCATCAGAAAGCTGCTTCCCAGAACTGTGGACACCAAAAATTTGCACCCGTTGCTTTGCATCAGGCAAACCAATATACACACGCCTGTCTATACGTCCACGGCGAACAAATTCAAGGTCCAGTTCATCCGGTCTGTTAGTAGCACAGATAAAAATGACAGCTTGTCTGAGTGAAAATCTATCAACACCTGTTTCCTCTTTCCTGCAAACAATAAAAAAATTATAAATTATGTTTTACAAACAAAATAATATATGACAGAAGGGGAAGTATTTTAGCCTAGACAACAATTATTTCTTAAAATTATTCTGTATGTTCTCTGAAGCCCTTTGAGGATAGAGTTAAAAAAATGCAAAATAGACAAAGCAAAGATAAGAGACTAACTCCCCATCAAGCTGGGATATCAATGCCTCAAAGGTTTCTTTTCTTCGTGGATCTTTTCTTGCATGCCTTCCAGCAATAGCATCGATCTCATCAACAAACACAAAAGCAGGAGCCTACACAGAGGACAATTAAATAAAAATCTCTATGTAAAATTAGAATAAAATAGCCAAAAAGTTCAATCTTGCAAAGGTTCCACATCCACAAAGATCCTGTAACCTGGAGGTGAATGCCAACTAGAAACAATCTTTTGATTGGAGAAAATAGGAGCATGTGGTACTGACTTGTAATACTTTAACACAGATATTCACAGTTTAAAGTTAGAAAACTTACATTTCTCCTTGCAAGGGAGAACATTTCATTAATCCGTGCAACACCACTTTTTTCACTATCTGTAAACTCAGCACCAGAAGCAAAAACAAATGGCATACCACTTTCCTTTGCGAGTGTTCGAGCAAAAAGTGTCTTGCCCGTTCCAGGAGGTCCAGAAAGAAGGACACCCTACCATGCAAAATAGAGCAATCAATTCAGTGTTTAATAAAAAGTAGACCACCAAAAATAATTGGAAGAATTGATGGGTTTACCCTAACAAACTTGACTTCCTTCTCATAATACTGCATAGGGTTTCCCATGTAAATCATCAACTCATCCAAAAGATCCCAAACATCTCCTCCCAATACAACTTCTTTATACATTGATTTTGTTTCTCCAACCTCTCCGACAGGCTAAGTAGGTAAAGAAATATGATGAAGAAACTTCTCAGATAAGTAATAGTGGAAGTAAAAACCTATATATTCATGGGAGATGAAAGATACCAGAATAAAGTTTTCGGCATAAGCCATGTCAAAAAGTTGATTATATTTTTTGTAGAGGACACGGTTTGTGGTAATATGAAGAAGTATTGCAGATTCCCTAATGAAACACAAAATCAGTATCCCAGGCAGTAAAGCAAATATCACTTTTAGAAAGTAATGCATCTGCCGCTTCTGCTGGAGATCCACTTCAGCTCCAGAACTAGTTATCATCTCAAACAAGAAGGGATCTAATGGAATATCAACCTACAAGAAGAATATGCTAGTGTCAACAAAATATTCAAATTCAAGAGGAGATGCATTTTAACTATGCAGCAACAGAGACATTACTCACAGTGTATTCTAGAGGGAACCCTTCTTTCATTGTTACATACACTCGCTTCAGATCCTCTGTGAAGACAATAGCAGCAACCTGTCAATTTTCCAATCCATTACTTCATCCCACGGTCATTTATTCATGAAAGTTCTCATTAGGTGCAATAATCAGGTTCCATGTGTGGATTTAGAGAGCAAGTAATCCCTATGTTACTATCCATTGTATATTTGAAGCCTCAAAGGATAAATAGAACTTTCTGGAGGTTCCATGAATGTTTACTTGTGAGGAGAGAGTAGTAAAAATCAGTGGAAGGGGCAATTTTTTTTTTACCTCAGACGAATCAAGTTTTTGAAGAAAATACGTATATGGAAGCTTTGGGCGATAGCGCCACCATCTTTTTGATATCCACAATGCTCTGGTTCCTTGAGTTTCACTTGTCTTCTCAACCACATCTTTGCGAAGGCTGTTTTTAACCTCCTCCATGTCAAATTCAACCACGTACCTAGCGTTTAATGAGTCTAACTGTTCAGCCAGCTTCTCCTTTCTAAGAATGTCATTCCATACTTTAAGTCTTTCACGCCAATTTCCTTTAGTGTCCCGATTTTCAGCTGCTAAACAAACATTGGAAGAAAGGCTTAAATAGAAAACAAATTGTGCCAAATTCTAGCACCAAACCCAATATCACCGCTCTCAAAAAAAGAAAAAAATAATCAATGCATTAAAGCTTGTGTCCTTCTTAAAGAACAATATAATTTTACAAGTTTATAAGAACCTGAAGTGCAAGAATTCAGGACAAGCAAGCCTCATCTAGAAAAGTGGGAGTATCAGAGAAGTTCATTGCATATTCAAATACCTGAAATTCCTATATCTTCTTTTAGAGCCTCTTTAGTTTCTGAGTTCATTTCCACTTCACGGTCTATAATTTCTTTGATATTGTGTTCAGGACCACCAGAATCATCTTCCCATGCATGTTCCCCAACATAAGAACTATCATGAATAAGATCTCCATCTGGTCCTTCAATGAACTTCTTTAATTTTAAACCTTTTGGGATATTCTTCCTCCATAAACCTTTGTTAAATCTATAGGGAAAAAATAATCAGAAATTAGAAAGGACCATCACCATGCATAAAGCAAGTATTTTTTTTTTTTTTGTCACGGAAACTTTGATATTCCATTGTTTAATTGAACAAAATTAAGGCAATAAGAATAAGAATTGTGTTAATCCTTCTCTAAAATGTATTCTTTACATCAATTTAGTCTGTCAGCTTCTAAGCAAGACAGCATTGCATTATCTGATACTTGAAACCAAGCAACTGAAGTAAAGCATGATGGAAAAATCACACTATCCTTTCAAATTTCCGTGATTCATAGCTAATGCAGTTAATCTCTCCAACATACTGAATGATTTGGAGCAAGGTCATCACAATATGTAATGCCATCTGGCAACAGTATACAATGAGTCAGAAAATCTAGTATATATAGAGTCAAGTTATACTCTTTTACATATACGTCAAAGCACAGCTTGAAGTAAATCCTCAAATCAACATGATGGATGGTGAAAGATATAGACAAATATACCTTTTGATATTAGCAGGAGTAGGTTCAGGAATTAATGCCTCCATATATGCTTCAGTCAACTCTTTTCTTTCCCTATTAATGATTGGAGCACGAATGGCCATATAGATTCTTTGACAAGAAAAAACTGTGACAACAACATATAATAACAAAACAGCAACTCTTTTTGGTTCCCAGTTCTTAATATCCTGCAAATGAAAAGGAACAACAATGTTGAAAATACTATAGAGCGGGCACTGAGTAATACATAATTAAAACAAGAAAAGAAGAAAACTTCACCTTCCAAAGCTCCCATCTGTTCCACTCAATAAACTCAGGAAACAGCTCGAACCTAAAACGGTCGAGCTGAGCTTGGCCCTCCGTGGCCGAGTCATTAGCGTTGTTCGCAAATTCAGAAGCTCGAACCTTAGCATCTTCAACATCAAATCCCGTCTCTTTCTTCACGGACTCTCCCAATTTCTTGAGGAAACGTTCGGAACCGCGGCGAATGGACTGCGAAAGGTGAAGCCAAGAAAACCCTTGGGACCCATCTGAAGAAGACGAAGAAGAAGCTAGAAATATGGGCCTCCTCCGGCGGGAAAGCTTAAGGTTCCGTCTTTGATTGAAAAGATGCCGGCTATGAAAGACAAGATTAGAGTAAGCTTGTTTTCCGATGTTAAGTTTGATTTGAGATGAATGTAACGGGCTTGTACAGTGACGGATGGTAGTGCTTACATCCATGGAGACGCTTAGGGTCTCAAATGTGAGAGTGTGATATCGACTCTACCGCGGTTTCAGCTGCGGTGGTCGTCTCGTCGGAGTTCACTATGTGACGCCAGCAAGGGGTTTAGAGGTTTATCTTCAACAACACTTCGAGACTACAATGACAGTAACTGTGCCCCGGTCGCCCATTCTGCCATTCCATTTGTTTTACTCGGTTTATTGCAGTAAATTTTACACAGATTTTTTAAGCGACTTAATAGATTAACTTTATATATAGGCTTACATTTGTGAGAATTAATATGAATGCACACAATTTATTATATGAATGCGTACCATCTATTTTATATGTGTATTTTATAGTAAATTATGTGCATTCATTCATGTTATCACCTAAGGGATGTTCTTATATAAACGTTAATATATATATATATATATATATATATATATATATATATATATGGGCATATTCTAATGCAAACAATTATCCAAGAGATAAATCATAACCAATCCGCGCCATCCATCTTTGAAAACCAACGATTCCAATATGACCTTCGTCATGGTGACAAAATCGTAAATTGACATCAAATTACAGTTTTAGTGGACGCGCGAAGGGCATTATCAACAATGTAACATACTCAAAAATGTAAAAACCGTCCATTTCCATCAAAACCCTTCATGCGATGAAGCAAAACCAACAAAAATCTCTCGTCAAATTTGTAATATTTTGCTACAAACACTCTAGTTTTTTTTTTTTTTTTTACTGCAAAAAAAATGATGAATAACAAATTCAAGTAGTTCATGGTAAGAAAAACCCAGCTAAAATATGTAACAATTTAATATTTGTTGTTTCTTATGCATTACATAGTACATATTTCAGAAATTAATTTTACTGATAGTGCCTTGCTATAATGATACAATGTGCAAGTATTTTTGATAAATTGACAACATAATAACCTATTTTTGTATATCCAAAACCCTAAACAACATAGAAACCAGTTGATCGCTTTGCATGCTAAAAAATAATAACATTCTGACACAATGAGGGTGTGAAGTGTGAGCTAATGACCGTATATGCTAAAAAATACGGAGTAATACCATTATGGCATAATAACCTATCCCACACCCCAGGGATAGATTGACCCCCAACTGCTCTAGCAAGCACATAAGCCACTTGATTAGCATATTGTATAGCAAAACAAACAATGACATTGTCAAATTCCCTTATAATATTAATACAATTTATGACCACAAAACCATTGTAAGTGAAATAAACCGAATGTGCATGAATAGCCTTCTCAATAATATGACAATTAGTCTCCAACTTAACCTTTGTATGATCTAATGATTTCAACAATGAGGCTTCCTTGCAAGCTTTTAAGTCATAGACCATGATCACACTGTAAGAAGTCACTCCTTGTTGCTCTTAATGACTTCCATGGTTGTTTTTGTTTGCTTAGCATTTAGGGTGTGTTTGGTTGGTGGGTTTTGTCCATAGGAATGGGTATGAAAGTGATTGTTGTTGTTTGGTTTATAGGTTTTTAGAACACTACTATGAGTTTCGAATACCCCATCAATTGAAAAATCCATACCCAAATACAATAAGGGTTTCATTCCCTTATTCATTCTCAAGCACTACTATTAGTAACTATTCCCATTCCACCATACTACCAAACATGTTAAATACTTTCATCAAAACCCATTACCATTACCAAGTATTTGATACCCATTCTGATTCCGATTCCTATGTGCGAACCAAACACACCCTTATATTGTTTGAAATTTGAGCAACATATAAACTAATGAGTTAATATAATAATTTTGAGGTTAGTGTTGATAAAGTAATTAGAAATTTTGATAAAATAACTAAATGTAATAAGAATTTAACAATGACGAATCAAATATAAACAAAATTAATTATCAAATATCACATTTAAAAAGATTTGTAATAGTTAACGATCAAAGTGGTAGGAAGTTATTGTTCGTGCCAAAGATTTGTGAATTCACCAAATTGCTCTCTTATATGGGAGGTAGTGGGTTCAAGCCTCGGTGAAAGCGATTATAATTATATTTGATGTTGTAGCTTGTATATGTGAGTATTTTCATTTATTTACAATAACAATAAATAAAAAAAAGATTTGTGACTTCAAAGGAATTTTTTGTTGTTGGTTGAATTGATATTCTTGTGGGAGTAGAGAACCAAAAGCCACATAACACACACACACACAAAAAAAAAATAAAAAATAATAATAATAATAATACAGAGATGAAAGAAATTACAAAATTTAGAAAAAATAGGAAAATGAGGAGATGTCACAAAAGAAGTCTGAAAATCATCGAACACCTCAACTAGGCGATAAGAAAAATCCAATCTAGTTCAATCCACACCTCACTCTCCAATCCACACATCACTTCCCTGTCGATTCCAATCTCTTGTTTTTCACCACTTCCCTCTATAGAGTGAGTGGTCTTGGATCACTGAACTCCGACTGAGAGAGAGAGAGATAGAGAGAGAGCACAACACAGTGAGTGTGTGAAGAATCCAGCACCACCAGCAATGGCATCTGCTTCCTATACTTTCTGCGGCATTCCGACCACCTCGTCTTCCGCCGCCTCTTCCTCCTCATCTTCCAAGAGGGCCGTTATCACCCGTTTCCTCCCCAGGACTCCACTCCGCAGCCTTGGATTTGCCGCTGCCGCCGCTGACCCATTCTTCTCCCACCATGTCGCCACCCAGCTCCGATCCCTCAAGGCTTCCGCCAAGCCCGTCAGGGGTGTCGTTTCCATGGCAAAGAAGAGCGTGGGTGACCTCACCGCCGCTGATTTGAAGGGCAAGAAGGTCTTTGTCAGGGCCGATTTGAATGTCCCTCTCGATGACACCCAGAAAATCACTGATGACACTAGGATTAGAGCTGCCATCCCCACCATTAAGCACTTGATTTCCAATGGGGCTAAAGTCATTCTGTCCAGCCATCTGGTTAGTTGCATCTTATGCTTTTGCCATGTTATTCAATGAAGGACTGCACCTCTGATTTGCCCTGTCAAGAAAAAGTCTCAACCTTTACACACTCACTCACTATCCAGCTTTTACTTCTGCGTCTGTGAATTGTATTGTGAGATGATTTTTAATTACTGAAAATTAGATAGGACATTGCTACGGGCATTAAAGTTCAAAGATTGAGCCACAATCAATATTCACCTTGTTCATCATGCTAATATGCATTTCCTTTGCTTTACACATTATTGCATCCTTACACTGATATGTCATTTTCTGTTGAAACTCCAGGGACGCCCCAAAGGTGTCACACCAAAATACAGCCTTGCTCCTCTTGTGCCCAGACTTTCTGAACTACTTGGAATTCAGGTACCTAAAGGTTAATTTTTTATTTTATGAGGAAGCTGGAAAGAGGAAGGGATAAAATCTGTCTGTAATTATTAAGTGCTGATCCTAGATGGAGCTAATTGGACTTGTTCTTCCTATATGCTTGCTGCTGAATAGGTGGTGAAAGCTGATGACTGCATTGGCCCGGAGGTTGAGAAATTGGTTGCTTCACTTCCTGATGGCGGTGTTCTTCTTCTTGAGAATGTGAGGTTCTACAAGGAAGAAGAGAAGAATGAACCCGAGTTTGCAAAGAAGCTTGCCTCATTGGCGGATCTTTTTGTCAATGATGCATTTGGTACTGCACATAGAGCACATGCCTCCACAGAGGGAGTTACTAAATTTTTGAAGCCCTCTGTTGCTGGTTTCCTTTTGCAAAAGGTTAGATTGCTTTTTGTTGCACTCCTCATATGATATTCCCTTATATCATATCTCATAGTGTTTGATTAAAGACATCTCTCCAAAGTTTGAAGTTTGAATTGACAAATTGTACAACTTAGAACGTTGGTGTTGCCTTTGTTTGTGCTATTATTATTATTATTATTATTATTATTATATATCTGTTTCCACTTTGTTTTGTTTTACAGGAGTTGGATTATCTGGTTGGTGCAGTGTCAAGCCCAAAGAGGCCATTTGCTGCTATTGTTGGGGGTTCAAAGGTTTCTTCCAAGATTGGAGTGATTGAGTCCCTTTTGGAGAAATGTGATATCTTGCTTCTGGGAGGAGGTATGATCTTCACGTTCTACAAGGCTCAAGGTCTTTCAGTGGGATCATCTCTTGTGGAAGAAGACAAACTAGGTCTTGCTACATCACTCCTTGAGAAGGCTAAAGCCAAGGGTGTCAGTCTATTGTTACCTACAGATGTGGTTATCGCAGATAAATTTGCTCCTGATGCAAACAGTAAGGTATGGTATACTCATTAAAAATTAATAGTAGTGTTGTTGTTGTTCTGAATTTTTGTTATTACTAATAAAATAAAATGTTACTTACTACTGCAGGTTGTTCCGGCATCTGCTATCCCAGATGGTTGGATGGGATTGGACATTGGACCGGACTCTGTCAAGACTTTCAATGATGCGTTGGAGACAACAAAAACTGTGATTTGGAATGGACCAATGGGAGTGTTTGAATTTGACAAATTTGCAGTAGGCACAGAGGTAAGAGCGAGCATATAATTTTTATTAGTGTAGTGAATCCATCATCCCATAAGGAGGAGGTTCTACAGTTTCGATTTGGGAATAGTTAGTTAGATATGGTGAACCAAAATGAAAATGGTTTTAGTGTTGCAAATTTGGTTGTGTCTGATTGTGGTATTTAAGAAACACATAAAAGCTAAGCTAAGGTGTTGTTGTTGTGTTGCAGTCAGTAGCAAAGAAGCTTGCTGAACTGAGTGGGAAAGGAGTGACGACCATTATCGGAGGTGGAGACTCAGTTGCAGCAGTAGAGAAAGTTGGAGTTGCTAGCGTGATGAGCCACATTTCAACCGGAGGTGGTGCTAGTTTGGAGCTGTTGGAAGGAAAAGAGCTCCCCGGCGTTATTGCTCTTGACGAGGCTGTCCCTGTTGCTGCATGAGATCGATCAGATCACAATCCGAGAAAGATAAGATTGGGAGAGAAGAGATTTCTTCTTTTGTAGCTGACTGTTGTTAAATAATAAGTATTACCTTACCTTAAAATTTAAATACACACCTCCTACCCACCCTTTTGTTTTTTGTCAGTCAGTGTGTGTTCTGTTCTAAATAACAACCCCCTATCCGATCGATGAGCAAACCAGTCAGTTTGTGTATTTATATATAATATTGTACCTCAATTTGGTAGTCTAATTCTTTCAAACTTCTTGCCTTTCTCTTTTCCTCTCATCTGTTTATTATTACTGCACATTAAATATATCGAAAATTATAAAATATCATATTGCTAAAACACATAATAAAGCTAAGCTAAAATAGATCACAATATTAATATCTTGAATGTTTAATAATACATCCCATTGCATTATTTATTTATAGCAAATAATAAGAATAAAAAAATCAAGTGGAAGGGGGACCATTTTTATTTTTTTATTTTTTTATTTTTAAAGTCAATACTCTATCGTTAGGAATAGAAATAAAAATATCAATTGAACACAATGTACTCCTGATTAAGACTTAGTATTATTCAATGATTCTAAACTGTACAGAGTTACATAGATTGAGTATATACCCAGAATAGAGATATAGTGATCAAAGGCGCTGAATGGAAGCGGATGATGTTGGGGGCGCACATAGAGACATGATAGAGTAGAGTGGATTCCAGAATGGTTTCGTTTCTAGAAAGCTCCGTGCCACTAGGCTAACATAAGCCCATCGTATATTCGTAGTCGGGAAAGAAAGCCACTTGTTTGTGTCCTACGCATACTGCGCTCCTTCGCTCGCTATCCTACGCCTTTCATGTTTGGACTTGGACTTTTTGTTTATATATACTTCTAAACCTCCTTGTTTTCCCTCTGTATCGATCATAACCTCGACATTTCCGATAACGTCTCTGACCTAAGCGTGCGTTGTTGTGACTTGTGAGTAATCTCCTCCGATCCGATCTCATCCTCCGTCTCTCTCTTTTTAGTGTTTTTTTTTTTTTTCGTTTTCAATTTATTGAAGATAAGATTTACTTAGTGGTACGTTGGTGTGAAGGTGTTTGCTTTGAAACAATGGCCACGAAGAAGAGTGTGGGATCCCTGAAGGAGGCGGATCTGAAGGGAAAGAGAGTTTTCGTTAGGGTGGATCTCAACGTTCCGTTGGATGACGATTTGAAAATCACCGATGACACCAGAATCCGCGCCGCCGTCCCCACTATCAAGTACCTCACCCAAAACGGTGCTCGTGTCATCCTTTCTTCTCATCTCGTAAGCGCCACTTCACTTTCCACTTTATCTTTCTGATGCATATTGTTTCGTTAATCATTTCTTTTATTTGACCTAGATCTTGGATTTCTGCAGTATGTGCACCTATAATATCTAGTTTTTTTCCTTTAATGTTTGAGTAACGAGTTGCTTTGTTTCTATTTTATTTATGTATATTAATCCCGTTTTGTATATTTCCATCCTATGTTGATATTCTTGGCTCATAAATTTGAGCTCCCAATGTAGAGACTGTTTTCCTCTATATATCTTTGAGACTATTTTCTTAAAAGGTTCTTTAAAAAAAAAACTACACCGTGCTTTTAAAACTATTGATAGTCATTGATTTCACCTCAGGAAGGCCTACAAAATCTCTTAAAGATAAAGCCAATAACTTCCAAGGCTCATTGAATTCAAACAAGCATATACAAACTCTCTATAGCTTGCTCTATGTCGCTGCATTTCTAGATGGCTGACATTTTATTCTGAGTTTTCTGTGTATTCTCTGATTGCTTGATTTATTGGTTTTAGGGACGTCCAAAAGGAGTCACACCCAAGTACAGCTTGAAGCCCCTAGTACCTAGACTTTCTGAACTTCTTGGAAATGAGGTTTGTTTGGTGTTTCCCTCGATGCCATTGACCCTCATTGATTTTTCAAAATCCTACTTTCAAAAAAATTAATCCAAATTTTTTGCTTTTTGATAGGTCAAGATGGCTAATGATTGCATTGGTGAAGAAGTGGTGAAAATGGTTGCTGAAATTCCAGATGGTGGTGTTTTGCTGTTGGAGAATGTGAGATTCTATAAAGAGGAAGAGAAGAATGATCCTGAATTTGCAAAGAAGCTTGCATCCCTAGCAGACTTGTATGTTAATGATGCATTTGGAACTGCCCATAGAGCTCATGCCTCCACCGAGGGAGTTGCCAAGTGCTTGAAGCCTGCTGTAGCCGGGTTCCTTATGCAGAAGGTATTTGAATGGCTATTTTGGAAATTTTAGAGGCTACTGTCTTGCAAAAATTATCCATAATTGCTCACTTCCATACATCTTTTGCCACCTCAGGAGCTTGACTATTTAGTTGGGGCTGTGTCAAACCCTAAGAAGCCATTTGCTGCAATTGTTGGTGGTTCAAAGGTATCCACTAAAATTGCTGTGATCGAGTCACTGTTGGAAAAGGTTGACTTGCTATTGCTTGGTGGAGGTATGATCTTTACTTTCTACAAGGCTCAAGGATACCAAGTTGGATCCTCGCTTCTGGAGGAGGACAAGCTCGGGTTAGCCACAACCCTCATTGAGAAGGCCAAGGCTAAGGGAGTGTCATTGTTGCTTCCTACTGATGTGGTAGTTGCAGACAAGTTTGCTGCTGATGCTAACAGCAAGGTTTCACTCTCCTAATTCTCTTATTATAATAATATTGATTTCAGGTTTGGTGCCTAAATGGTTTGTAGAAAATGTGCACACATATGTATGTATGTATATTACTTTAGTTTTAACAAGTTTAAATGCTTGGAAATTGAACTGCTGCTGCTGGCATTGTTGGAATTTTCAGGTGGTTAAAGCCTCAGAAATTCCTGATGGCTGGATGGGTTTAGATGTTGGACCAGACACAATCAAGTCATTCGGTGAGTCTTTGGATACCACCAAAACCATCATTTGGAATGGACCGATGGGTGTGTTTGAGTTTGACAAGTTTGCTGCTGGAACAGAGGTATATTAATTATATGATGATAAAGTATGGGACTCACCACACACTGTACCGCTGAGCTGCTCTTTGATTATTTTACTTTATGACTTCCCAGGCCATTGCAAAGAAATTGGCAGAGCTTAGTGAAAAGGGAGTGACTACGATCATTGGAGGTGGTGACTCTGTTGCGGCTGTTGAGAAGGTTGGGCTTGCAGAGAAGATGAGCCACATCTCAACTGGAGGCGGTGCTAGCCTGGAGCTTCTAGAGGGGAAAGTGCTTCCTGGAGTTCTTGCCCTGGACGATGCTTGAGCTCGCTGCTCCCTCCTTGTTCCTACCTACTAGTGCTTTGTATTTTGATTTTGCATTTACATTTGAGTTGTGTAGTGTCTGGGGTAAGACCAGATCGGATTAGGAGGAGGAGAATGGGTAGAGTTTCCTCAAATAAATAAATTTATCGCCCCTTGGGGCTTTGTTTTGCACTGAGATAAAAAACCAGTTTATGTAGCTTGTTGCATATTTTTGCTATGCTTTATACAGCTACAAATCAATCTTCTACTTCTGTAAATCAGTATTAGTGAATTTGCTTTCTTTCTTGAATAATAATCTCTTTTGCCTTATTGAATCATCTATCTTTGTTATTCACTGTAATATCAGTCTGATTGACTTCTGAGGCCATAAGCCGTTGTGAAAGTAAAAAGTAAAGACTAAAAAAGAGCATCCACAATACACAGTTGAAAGGGAGGGAGAAACTGATAACTTTTATACCCACCCACCGGTTCTACCAGTGAATTAAGTGGACAATATTCATTCAATCACAACTTTTGTTTAGACTAAAATAACCAGGTACATTGAAACGTAGACATGTTTTCCAATCCCACATACCCAACAAGTGAACACTAGGGATGATGTCTTCTTGATCACAAAATCATGGCTTTTGAGCTTCGGAAGTGGAGACCGGGACCTCAGGATTTGCTCCCCATTCAGTCCATGAACCATCGTAGACTGGAACATCAGTTTTCCCGAGTCGATGGAGTCCCTGAAAAAAATAAAAATGGCGATGGTTTTTATATACGATGCGTGCTACTATAAACATGCCTAAGAAAAAAAAAAAAAACCATAACTCATTTAATACTGGTATAAGGGAGGAAGATACCAATGCAAGAATGCAAGCAGTTACGCCAGTGCCACATGAAGTTACTATAGGGCTGTCGAGAGAGATCCCTGACAAAAGATAAGGCAACCAAGAATGTGAATAAAAAGACACGGGGAAATTATTGTGTATTCAAAAGTTGCTAAACTACTCTACATGTGAAAATCAAGAAAGCTTTAAGTGAAGGTATCTTTATTTCTCAAATAAAACAACTAACTAAAAAAGCTTTAAACCATTGAAAATGCTGGATCTACTCCGGAAATGGCCAAACTTGAACCAGGAAATGCTTTCACAAATCAAATGGATGCAAAAGGCTTAGGTATAAAACGAAGGAGGACAACTTAACCATAAAATATCTAAGTTCTATGCCCATAACAAGGCAGTAAAAACCCACATAATTTTCCAACAAAAGCAAAATTTTGCTTCACTAAAAAACACTTAACATTCTAGATTACTACTCCTGAAACTTATTCTTACCTTCTTGGTCGAATTTTTTCTTCAGCTCCTCTGCAGATAAGAGTGTCTGGGAACCATCTAACATCTGCCAAAAGGCAAGCAAAAAGTGGTACACGTATTTGAATGCTCCATAGTACAATAGTTCGAAGTAAACACATGGAAACAGAAGCAACATTCACAAATAACTTGTCAGAGTAGATTGATGTTATCTGATATATGTACTTTCTAAATAGTGACAAAGTTTAAAAGATGTATCTTGCAATAAACTAAATTGTGTGCTACTGAGAAGAGTTTGCTTTTGTTGAATATTTTTCATTACTAATTACTAATTTTTTTTTAAAGAGAATTTCTCTAAGCATCACCCCCACCTAAAATCTTAAAAAAGATCATTAGTTACCACTAACTAACAGTCCTTTACCTGTGCAAAGGGAATGCATTTGCTACCAGGAACATGTCCACTCCGTATTCCTTTTCGAGGCTCTGGTGCAACCCCATCAAATCTGCAAAGGATTTAGCTCTTATATAAAAAATTTCATATAAACTACATTTTCTAAAATCACATCAACAATTCTTCAGAATGCATTTTTTGTAATCTTTATCTTTATATGCATAACAGCCTTTTCATATAATTATTTAAGAGCCATAAAAACAATCTTCAATCATATTCGGTTTAAACCCAAATGATTGGTGAGTTAGTAAGTAGCAAGGGACTGTGAGAGAATGAATAAACAAGTTGCTTCATTATTTTTGCTAATTAAGTTACTATTTATCTGGCCAACCACACAAGGATTACAAAATTGTAATCCTTTATTAATGATCTCAAAAAAAACCTGGCAAACAAGGTGCAACCTCTTCTAAAAGAATTGTGACAAATGCAAGATGCAGCAAACTGGTAAGATATATGCTGACAAAAAGTATACCTAGCTTTTGATCGAGCATCTATATGCTGATGTGACTTTTCCTCAATGTTGTTCCTAACCTGAAAGTGCAACGGAAGGTCTTGAAATTGAGAAAAGCAAATAGCATAGCATTTACAAAATTGAATAGCCAATTAGATGGAGAAACATCAAGGAGTGTGTGGTAAAACAAGATATAAACTACAGGGCATGCCTGTTTTTCATGCAAGTATACAATCATAAATGTGAAAACCTTCTTAAGAGAATACTAACATGCTAGGAAGTTTATTCATGATAAAGACAAAAATGTATTTATCTGCAATATCACATATTTTAGCCTCTAAATTTCACCATGCACTAGGTGATCAATCTAGACCTCCATGCCAATGCAACAGTCTCCAAAACAAGTTCGAAATTTTAAACATCAAAATTTGTCACTTTGCAACAACATTTATCATGAAGCAATTAAAGCAGTAAAAGACAGACCTGCTCAAGTTTCCAGACAAGATGTGGCTGAAGCTTGGTCAGAAATGTGATAGGTCCAGCCTGCAAATATAGAAGTTTTGTTAGCATATATGTTTACCAATGATGAATTATATAACTGACAGGCACCTAAATGTAAACTGAAATAATAGAAAGAAAATTCTAGTCAAATAAAAAATTTAAAAAATCACAGGTTATGGCAAGAACCAGAAATGAGTACGAGGTATTTGCATGTCAAATATTCACTTACAGTATGTCCTTTATAGACTTTCTCTATTGCCTCACTGGCAGCACTAGCTTTCAAAATTGCATCACCGGATGCACTTGATTCAACATCATATCCAGAAGCACGCCACCTAGGCAAGCCTCCATCTAAAACCCAAACTCGATCATGCCCAAAAACTCGAAACATCCTGCTTAAGCGTTCTAAAATTAATATAACCCATACAAAACAGGTGTACTGAAGAACCAAACTCATTTAACTGAAAAATGAATCCAAACTCACCACCAGACACGGGCTGCACTGAAGATTCCCTTCCCATCATAGACAACCACCCCATCTTTGTTCTCAATACCAAGAGCAGAGACAGCAGCAGCAAATGCTTCTTCTGATGGCAACATATGTGGCAGCTGATACATCATTCAAAATGAGAGCTTTGTGTATCACAAGGGGAAAAAATAGCTAATCAATCTAACAAAGTTTATCAAATGGATTTTCAGCCTCGAGTGTATTTCAAATGTTGAAATTTTTTGTTATATAACTGACAAAATGTAACACCTTTCCTTATCTCCAGTGAAGTGGAGAAATAGGTTCCAGATGAAAGACATTCAAACCAGAGAAAAGAGGTACTCGTGCACTAGAGATCTCATTAAATGAGAGAATGCCAATTGGTTCAGCAGCAATTTTATTAATTGAGAGAGAGCAGGGAACAAGTAAAGATGAGAAATCTTACATTAGTAGTTCGATCAGCTATGCCGTCTAAGTCAAAGAACAGTGCACCAGGAATGTGTGCTACCTGTTACAATAAAAAGTAACAAATATTGTGAATAGAAACACTCTTCAGTTATAAAGTAAAACAGAATAGTACAGACTGCCTAATCAAGTATGGAAGCAAATCTAATCCAAAACTCGGTTAAGAAATGTAACCATGTCTTTAATAATCACATGGAACAAAAGTTCATAGGTATTCAGTACCTGATACTCTTGAAGTGGATTTCTCTGCTCATCTGGCATGTACCAGGATGCATCCAATACCTGAAATAACAATTAATATCAAATACTATAATGAACAACAGAGAGTAGTTTATACTTTATAGAAAACCTCAGAATATTGTCAAACTCAGAAGTAGATTTGATATAGGAAAAACCAGCATAGATTAGTCCTACGACATCAAAGCCACAGTCTAACCTTCATATCAGGATCTCGGAGTTTGGTGTGCAGCCAGTCAACTGACACAACAGGTTCATTTGTTGTCAAGGATGCTGGTGAGAATGATATTTGAGCCCCAGACAATGATGAAGCCATGCGACAAGCAACAGAACTGGCAACCTGATATGATAAGTGGGAGAAAGATGCTTGCGAGTACAATGGCCTATTCTGTGAGCAACAAAAGAAAAAAACAGTGTGTTCATGAGCTCTTGTCTCTAAATAAGTAATACATGAAACTAAATATCTATACAAACCGAAGTAAATAGGTGCAAAAGCATAAAGTACACAAGTGGGCTCAGGAACCAGTGTAGTCCCAATCAAAGAAACACTAAGAGAATACAAAATTCGAACTTTACACACAATAATGAACCGAAATATGGGCAGAAGCAACCAAGTGATAAAATATCATCAATCAAACAATACCACAGACGTCCAGTCGGCAATACCAAATGGATGAAGTAAATCAAACTGAAGAAATAAAGACTGGAAATTTATATATATAAGATCACATAGGGTAATGATTAAGGAGTGCAGAGTGCCGGCAGCACGCAGCATGTATAGTATAGAAATAAAGGCAATCAAGCAAAGATGAAGAAGAGACTTACGAGAAAGGAAGACTTGAATTGGAGCTTGCGGAAGAGGGTGGATGAAGAAGAAGAAGAAAGGGGAGGATAGAAAACAGAGCGGGTGGCAAAGAGAGTTCTGGCGATAACGGAAGATGCCATTAAAGAATCAGACAAGTCACGGGATATAGAACATAGAAGGAAGAGAGAGAGAGAGAGAGAGGGATTTGTTGTCCGGTTGTGAATTCGATGAAAAGGAGAGAGTATGCTATGCGGTGCGTATTAAGCAGGTAGATCAAATCAAAAGAAACAAGAATCCAGCAAGCGTTGCCACTGAGGGAGATGAGTGATGATGAACAACTGTCACCGCGACGCGAGCATCAGCTGCAGCCAACACTGGCGGACTTGTAGACTCGTAGGTATAATAGTACTCCGTATTAGTTTCTTCCTTCTGTGATATACGACAGCGTTTTACATTATTATTAGGAATATAAGGGTCAAATATGTCATTGAACTAAAATAAAATGCAATTGGGTTCTGAACAATATAAAATAATGCAATTGAAACAAAATTGACCTCTTTAATTGTTAGTTTACTGACGTAGAGATTATCATCTTAAAATAATTATTTTTTTTTATTCTTTGTCTCCGGCAGCTAGAGACGAAGAGGTCCTACGGAGACGAAAGACGAAGAAGGTTCTTCGTCTCCGACCTAGAGACAAAGAGGTCCATTTTTCTCCATGTCAGAGACGAAGAGCTCTTTGTCCCCGGCTGGAGACAAAGAAGGTTCTCCATTCCCGACCAGAGATGAAGAATGGTTCTTCGTCTCCGGTAGCCGGGAGACGAAGCGAGAAAATCTTATTTTTTATTTATTTTCAGGCGATAACTTACCTTATTGTGTGAACTTGAGAATATGTGCACACACTTGATGTTACAACATCCAACGGGCCCTAACATGGTGCACGAAAAAAGTCAACTCAGGACGTGATGCAAAACGTATGCATTGTGTTTACTTAATTACATGTGTGCATTGTGTTATAGATGTGAATATGTGATATGCACCGTTCACTAATCTAGATAAATGACTCAAAGTGGTTCTTAGATTCACATGTTAATATAAGTTCAAATTTTGTGAAAATATTTTAATGCCGAATGCAAAAAAAAAAAAAAAAAAAAAAAAAAAAAAAAAAAACACCATCCATTTCAAATTAATTGTTAATTTGATTAACTACATACTTGTTTTTACTAATTCTTTGATATTTTATTTTATAAATTCGAAAATTCAACTTTAGATTATTCTTTTTAATTCGTCTAAACTGTCTCCAAAATCTGTTTTAACACAAATGGTTGTTAAATTAAAATGGCTACCAGCCTTGCCAGACTTGTATAATTTTAACTGTCCATCTGTGCCTGTGCGGTGAAGACCTGGGAATGCAATGTTCTGAACACAGTCTCTACAGAATTGACATCAATGTCGAACCCATAACTCTGCCCCCCATACAATACATAAAGATACTGTTTATCAGATGAAGGTGGAGGCAAAATCTGAGATATCGCAGGAAACTCCATGTTTGGTGGTGAAACCACATCCTTCCTCTTTGAGTAGTAAACATCAGCTACAAGCAGCCATACAAGGTCAGGGTCCATCCTCGCGAACCCACTAAGGGCATTTATAGCTGCTTCTTGAAGACCTTTTACACCACTGCATGCAACCCCTACAACAAGACCACACACCTTCTTAAGGACTGCTTCCAATGCTGAAGCACTTCTTCTGTTCTTGCTCAAGTCAGCCAGCATATTCAGAACTGCCACCTGGACTTTTACATCAGAAACCTCTGATACTGATGAATCTTCTGAATTTGAGGATTTGCAGCCTCTGTATGGGAGCTGTAGTAAGGGCATCTTTTCTTTTGAAAGGGGTCTCCTCTGGAACGGTGATGTGCCCAAAAGGTTCCACAAGTGCACTCCATCAGTGTGAAAGCGTCGCGAAAAGAAGTCACCCCCACATATTTGCACTATGTTACTAATTGCACGCATACATCTCCCAACACCCTGCTTAGAGACGACCAAACCACAAATCAAATAACAATTCCCAAACCCACAAAAGAAACTAGCTATAGTTATAATAATCAGGCATTACAATATGATGTACAAAATTTATCTGTCATGCCATAGATTATATGCTATTCCAAGGCATTTTTCTCTATACTATATTGCATAAATTCCCACTAATCCTAACAATTACAATTACTATTATGTACCTGTAACTTTTATGCACCTTAGAATCATCAGTGCTGTAATGTGATGGTAAAGAGAAATTAAAGCTTAATCATTCGGGTTTAGGGAACAAGCATAATGATAATCAATCACTCACCAGGGGATTCTTATTTCGAACACAAGAAACCAAGAAAGGCCATATTTTATTTGCAGCTGGGAGTAGTCTATTCTCCACAGTTTCATCATCATCTAAAGTATCCCCAAGATTATGAAATGAACACAAACTAAATGCATGTTCAATTGCCTCCTTAGATTCTTTCTCGTGCTTGTAGGCTTCCTCCACCTTGGCAATCACAAATATGCCATCCTAAACAACATTAAACAATCAAATAAAAAATAAAAACCAACAAAAATGCCTCCATGGTTCAAGAAGTAGAAAAGCATGTGCATGAATATCATAAATCTTTTTATGGAATAGTTAGTAATGAATTGATATTTGGGAAAGAAAATGATACATGCTCTGAGGAAGTCTTATTTTAGATATTAATAAATTACTAAATAGTTATTTAGAAACTAATAAATAGTTATTTAGAAATTACTAAATAGTTATTTACCTTATTATTCTTAGTCTTCGAATTAATTTAGGTAGTTTAATTATTTAGAAGATTTCAACAGATTACTTAGCTTATTTAGTCATTCTATGAGTTGTATTTTACCCTATAAAAAGGGAGTATTATTTAGAATAATAACAAGCAGAAATTTAATCCCAAAAGGGTCTAAGGGAGTTTTGGGTCTCAAGCAAACCCAGTGTCTTCTTCTCTTCTTTTCCTTTTCCAATTATTATTCTTTCTATCTTTTTCCTTATGTTTTCTTGCCCATGACAGGAGCACATAACAGAAAAAAATAAAATAAATAAATTATAAGCAATCTTAATAAGAGCTTATTTGACCCAGCTTATGCTTCACGAAGGATATTGGATCTGAACCTAAGCCACATGCCTGGCAAGGTACTTACCCTGCCGCTAGGCTAAACTGAACTCTAGAGCAGTCACTCTGAACAATGTGGTGACTTTTATGGCACCCTTTGTTCAGCTTCCCCTTTATCCAGTAATGAGATTTGTGCTCAGCCATTTGCCATAAACATGGCATAAATATTACTCCGTATCATTTAATATATGTAGTTTACATAAATGCCATAAGAAGCAATGATGGGATACTCATCATACCTCAACTATGTCAAGTGCTAGCAAGCATGGAGTGTGTTCAGCTGAAGAAAGCAATGGAGTTGCTGCAATTAAACATGAACTTGCCATAGATCCAACTGTGCGCCTATACCTTCTTGAGTCATTCAATTTGAACAACATGGACTCCCATTCTTCTATTTGCATGTCAGGATCATTGGAATGGATAATTATTCCTGCAAGTACAATATGTTGTCAAATGCAAATTTTTCATGCAACCAAATTACAGAGGCTTTATATGACATATCCAAACATAATTAAATCAACTAATTACTAACCAGGTTCTCTTGAGTCCATATCAATTTCATCATCACTGAAGGGTCTTGTCTCATTTGAGAGCCTTCCCGTTTTCTTCTCTAAATCAAACATTTTAGATTTCACGTTCTTGCAAAATGACAGCGATTGATCAGGCAGAGAACTAGCCTCATGTTTTGATGCCTTAACTATTTCTGCCACTGCCTAAAAGAAGAGAAGAGCAGTAATCATAAATTAGTAATGACATCAACCAAACAAATAAAAAATTCTAAAAGTTCTCTTATTGATGATATATTCACAAGGGAATAACAATAGTGTCACTAAGTGATGTTGAACCAAAAAACATTTCTCATGTAATTCTACAATATTAGAATCTATGGTACTTTGCTTAAGATCATTTTATTATCATTGTTTAATATAGTGTTGCCCAGTTTTAAGCAGTTGGACCTAATGGAGCATTCTTCATACCACTTGACTAGTTGACTGGCACTATGGGCTTGCTACACAAGGAGCAAATGGTTGATTTTCCTTTACATAAGATGTTACCACAGTGGAAATAGGAATGAGGTTATTATGCATCCTTGAGAAGGTGATAGTTTGTGACGTGTGGAGGATAATTCATTAACAAGAACCATTGCACAGCATCAATAAATATAAACATACAATGGTTGATTTATAAAGAATTTGTGATGTTTTTCCTTCAATCACCTATTTTATATTCTTATCTGTTTTCCTTCAAACATCTAGTTATCTGTGTTACTTTCAGGATAAAGCAGCAGCATAACAAAGGTAGAGATGACCTTTAAGAAGGAAATTGTCAAGTCTGGATGCCGATGCCTTTGAAGAATTTCAAGCTCTGTGGAAACAGCACGCATCTGCATGAATTATTCTATCAGGCTAAAGATATTGCAACTTACAAGGAGAAAATATATCCAATTGTGTCCGCACATAGCCAGATATTATAAAATATTTTTTCTTTGGGAACGGGGGTGGGCAAGACTTTTGCGTAAAAAGCAATATGTTTTAAGAAACGTACTGGCTCCTCCAACAATGGTAATATTTTGTGAGCAACTCCTACGTATGAAAGCATGGCTGCAAGTATATTTGGTACATTTGGATTGAGATCAAGATGACGGAGTTCCCTACATACTGAATCAATGATATAATCTGAATTTTCTAAAACTAAGTGTCCCACCTGCAAATAGTTTATGAATTAGTACCAAGCCACAAAATGTAAGCACTGTATCAATAATTGCTTACCGTTTCATACTCATGCATAGCAGCAATAATGTGCAAGACTGCATCAGATGCACTTCTGATCATAAAATTTGAGCAAATAAGGTTCTGAAGCAACAACCAAAGAGATGAATGAAGAAATCCAGATGAAGAGAAATCTTTCCCAAGGCACATACAGGAGATACCAATCCCATCAATAATAACCTGTTTGAAAAGAACAAAACAAAAATAAGAATACTGCAAACAGAATCCACTAGCAAGAATGCTGATGAGATAAATAATCCTGGAAAGAATTGCATTAGTTATGGAAAATAGTAATTTCCTGGTGCAGCATCCCAGTGTCGTGGAAGAAATATAAATTCATGTCCCCTTCCTCATTGTGAGATTGCTGAAAAAGATCTTTACCATCAATTGGAAGACTCCAGATTTCAGATGATAGGTATTCATGCAATACACAGCCCACATAGTCAACAACTTGATTCCTTGAACCCTTATCTAGGCAAATTCTCCAAACAAGATCTATTGAGACAACATCATCAACATTTCCAGGTTGATTCTCATCTTCATTATGCTTGAGTTCATGCCATTCAACACTGGACTTTGAAAACATCTTTGAAAATTTATGTATTGCTTGCTCTGACAAACCAAATAGCATTTCATTAAGGACACAAGCTGCTGTACTAGCCCTTCGTATAACTTGTCCTGAAGCAGTTCTTTTATACCACGAATGCCAACTTTCATTATTATATTCCCTCATCCGGACCTCTGAAATCAATTTACGCAAGTTCTCCAGGGGGACATCCATTATTATAGAGAGACCCCCCTCACTTTGAGAGTCTAGCCAAAGAAACACCAAATTAAAAGGTTAAGCTCAATTGCTCAAATCAAGAAAAAGCAACAAATATAGTCCATAAACACCGAGAATGATTACAACCTGCAAATAGAGATAAACCTACAAGTCTAAGGATCCCAGCTAGCGCATGGTACAACTTCTGGCTACCAACATGAACAAACCAAGGAGGCATGCGTGGCAGCTCATACTCATCCGATATACTTTCTGCTGAATACTGTGCTTTTGTTTTTCTACTTCCTGAAAATTCAAAATGTTCAGGGTTGGCATCTACGATAGCTTTCATCTCTGCTATAGAGCGTATATAACCACCAGTTGAGGAATTCCTTGTTATAATATGCTTCTCCAGAGAACCAGCAAAAACAGAGTTTTGACTCATGCAGAGGGCAAAAACATCCAAGAACTTAGCAGCAGTTACCTACACATCCCATTGGAAGTCATAAACAAACAATTCAGAGTTTGTACTTCAGAAAAGCACACAAGTTTTATATTAGAAAATTCATAAAACTTCATGCTGCAAAACCAAAAATTAACTGGATAAAAAGTCAAAAAGCAGATATAGGAGAATTAATGATATACACCCTAGTTGCCCTACAAAATATCCATATTACGGACATTTTAAAATTCTTAGGCGTTGCTACAATGGATAGAAGCAGCTAGGTAGTAAGGTAGGAGATTCAAATCTAATGTATCTTATACAATTCACAGAATCGCATCTAGTATACTCAATTAGTGGTGAGTGTGTAAATAACAATCTATTAAATCATGGCTTCTTGTCAAAATCCATAGCTGCTCAATCAAAATAATAGTAATAATAATAATAATTAACAAACAAAAGCTAAATTAAGGTCAAGATTATCAACATACAGGAGACTGAAGGAGGTAGTCGGTCACAAGTTGAGGGCCTGAAAAGTATAACACGACAAATAATTTCCGGGCATGTGATAGTGCAAGAGATTCCTCATTTTCTAAGATCACTTTTGGAAGCTTCTCGATGAGCCTGCAAACAAGTACAATTTCTAAGATAACCATTTCGGAACTAAGCACCAGCCTTTGAGCCACAATATATCAAAGGGAAGAAAGAAAAAGAGAATGGTGGCACCTTCTAAAAATCTGGGTGAAATCATGTTTTATGTGATGCTTCCCATGTGATGAGCGCAAATATCTAAAGAAAGCTTGCGCAGCTAAAGACACATCTTCAGAATCATCACAGACCAAAATACATAAGCACTCCTGCATCAGCAACTCCCACAAAATTAGCATATTCAGCAGAAGCTCATTAGTAAGGGAAACATATATTCTTTTATATATAGAATAGTCAGTCAGCATTAAAAGTTTAAAACCAGTTCCTTGCTTACCAAAAGCATCAATCTGCTACTCTTCAATGTGTAACAACATTTTGTTAACAGTCCTTGTATAGCAGCTAAAAGCCCTTGTCTCACCCTTTTGCTTGAATGCATACAAAGCTAAGAAACATAGGTATTAGTCCATCCAAATAAAACATTGAATTAAGGAACAAATATAAGTGCCACAGAGAGGGCTAATCATAACCTACATGAGGAAATGTTGCAGACAATAGCTTATCAACATGAGAAGAGGTATCAGTAATCCATTGTTTTGTACGACAGACACGCAAAAAAATGTTTCCTCTCTCACTGGAGTCACATACAGGGATGCCTCCATCACCAGCTTCAGTCAAATCTTTAATTACTACATTACCATGGTCCTGCATTTGGTTGGGCAAGTGACGAAGTCTCTCTAGTAGCAACAGAGGTGACTTCTCACTGTCAGAGTGGAAGTCAGGGACATCATCGAAGGGCACAGTAATAGAAGATAAATTTGACTTGTCCTTAAGAACTATCATAAGAAATTCAGCTAGGCCTCTGATGGCTTCATCTAAAGCTTTAGCACTGCCAGCAGCCCCACTGATCATAGTCTTTGAGGCATGCAAAACTTTACCAATTTGACTAACAACACCCGGCAAAAAGAAAGCTAATGCATCTCCATCCCCAACCTGTCAGAGATCACCTAAAATTAGTAATGTTATAATTTATGAAATTGTTTTCAAGCCATTAGAAGTTCTGTACAGTAATTACTAATTGGTTATGACAAACAGAAATCTGCAACAACAATAAGAAACGGATGCCTAAAAAATTAAGCAGGTTCTCTTGACTTAATAACTTCACAGCCATCCGTGTCTCTTCTTTCTATTCTTCATTCTCATGTAATTTCACATTTTCTCACATGCAAGCCTTACAGCATGAATAGAATTATAAGGTCCACAATCATGAAATAGATTAATTTGAGAGTAAATACACCCAGTATGTGGATTTCTCTGTAGTTTAAGCTCCCTTGCCCTGATGGATGAAAGAAAGGTAAAGCTCATGCCAAGTAGTGATGAATTTATACCTCTGCCAACATAACAACCTAATACGCCAATTGCACAACATACAAAACATAGGACAAACTGACAAAGAAGAGAAAGGGAAGTTACCTTGGCAATAAGCATCCGCAGTGTTGTGAAACATTCTATACGAATTGTGGCACTGCCTCGAAGCTCTCGTCCAGCCTCAATATCTGCAGCCTTTATGCAAATTCCAAGATCAAGTTCAGAAAGTAAACAATGCATATTAGTTCTTTTTGGACAGAGACTATATACATTTTATTAGTACCACAGAGAAATAGATAAATCATAAATCCCTAAGAGTGAATCATCAGCACTAGGTGGAATATTGAATACCTTGAGCAGAAGTGACAGCCAATGTCCAACTGCAGCAGAAGCAGTTTCAGACTGGAGAAATGCAAGCAAACATTCTTCTTGTTTTAAGTCACACTTTGAGAAAGGTGGCAGTTGCAAACTCTCTACTTCTAAAAGCACAGGCCAAGAACTGATTTTCTTGCATGGACATGAGTCATCAGAACAAGGATGAAGATTTAGCAGTAGCGCTTTAAAACACCTTATTACTCCTTCTCGAAACTCTTCTGAAGCCTCCAGAGGAGAAAGCAATGCCCCTCGAGTCAACTTTTTCAGCAGTACAACCAACTGCAAAAGTATAATATAAATTACAGCAGATATAACTTAACACTTCCAACGAAGAGCTTTAAGAATGACTGATATTAAAAATAAATACAAATAAAACAAAAATAAAAAGTTATCAAGATGAAGATAAAAGCTTCCACCTTCTAAGCATAACAGCAAAATGGGGTGCAACATGTGCAATAGAGCATTTACACTCTCTAAGGAATCATAATAAAAGTCTCTGCAGTTTAAATCAATAGATTTACAGTATTTCATGAAATCACTTATTAGTGCTATTGTTGGAAAATATTTTAATGCATAAGATGGTGTGTTTCTGGTGGAGTGGGCAAGTGGTGGTGCCGTAGCAGAGTGACTTGTATACAGGCTTGATGGTTGGGTTTGTTAACTCACAAGTGACTGTCATAGTTCATCTTAGGTCAACTTTGATTGATGTTCACCAACAAGTATGATTAATTGCAGGAATGTTGTAGGATATGGCAATATGCTATGATCTCCATATTACAAGTTTATCTTTGGCAAAGAACATAGGGTTCTCAGAGTCACAATATAAGTACCTTTTTGTGCTTCAGTTGCAATCTATTTTGCATTTAATAAAATCTGACTCATAAAAAAAATATAATTAAAAAAAAAAAACAAAAATTCCCAAAGTTATCCAATTAACTTCTTTAAGGTTAATAAAAAGAGAAGAAAATGCGAGACAGAGAAGAAGACAATTTATAGAAAGAACAAGTTGATAATGTCCATTAAAGTTCAATACAAAAACGGGTCTTCATGTTTGAATACCTGATCCACAGATGCTAGATGGCATTTCTTCAGAAGTTCCTCAAGACAATTCAATACACCTTCTCCCAAAATGTCACCAACTTTAAGTGGAGTCTCTGGGAAGTTAGATATAATAGATCTTCCTCTTGAATCTTCCTTTGATGTTGATCTACAATCTACTGCTGCATCCAGTAGAAGCAGCAATGGAAACAATGTATAGCTGACAAAATAAATGAGAAATCTGATTGTCACAGGTTGAAAAAGGGCATGTATACAATTATCAAATTTTCCTCTAATATTCAGAAACCAAGAAAGCTTTGAACTTTGGAGAACATGTTCATATGTTGTATGAAAAGTAGCAGAGGTCATCCACAGAAGAGAAATGCATTCCTTTCTTCAGGGTTAGAGTAGTACTCTGTCCATTTAAAGCATTCAGATAAGTTATGTCCATTTGAAGTCTTAAATTCTTAATAATGACACCATATAACAAGCTATTACAAATCTCAAGATGTCTAAAACTTAGTTTGCATATCACATCTCATCATCTTTCCATCTCTCCACTATAACTGTTAAGTCAATATACCTCTGCAGTATCGACATTGAAGGCCATTGTACCACCTTATAATTCTGGAAGAAAGCTATGGAGTAGTTTTTTACTAGTGGAAAACAATGATTATCATTTGAAGCGGTGTAAAGTATTCCTGCCTGAGCTTATCTAACTCCTAGTAAAATGCATCAAATGACATGTAGACATAGGACTTCTGGAGTTGCATCTCAGGCAAATGGAATCAACAAAGCAGAAATTTTTAATATTGGAAGCTAGCAAAATTATACTGTACTCTGCATAATTCAAAGAACAACGTAGAAAGTAAATAGCCACCTACTCGAAGAAGGGCTGGAGGGCTTCAGGAGAAGATCGGCGAAGAAGCTGAAGGAGTTGAGATACTTCAGAGGTGCTTTTCACACGGTTTTGATGGAGTTCCAGTAGCTGTATGCAGTACAATTTGAGCTCTGAGAATATAGCGCTGCTCCTTCCAGCTGCCGCTTCTTCTTTGCCGCCGGTAATGAAATTGATGTTATCGTTGCATTCTTCGATGCTCTCCATTGCAATAGCATCGAAGCTACACTGGCCGCAGCTGTGAAGTTGCGTATTGCTTCTACCTCGCGAAGAACGTCGAAGGTTGAAGGACCTGGAAGGCTGGAACGGACTGTGGGGCCTGATCCGAACCCGAACCCGAACTCGAGTCATATATATATCCGGAATTCCGGACTATCCAGTTGTGCGTTGTCCAAAAGATTTATTTTTTTTTTTTAACCAATAATAAACTTGACTTCTTTAAGTTCTTTTTTTGAATTATTAGATAATAATAAAACATGTATAAAAAACAATAATTTTTTTTTCATTAAGCTTTACTTTTGTGTTTATTTAGAAAAAAAAAATAGAGAGTTTAGAATGATATTCACATGTTTATAATTGTGACTCAATTAAATAAAATTGTATAATATAAAAGTTTTTTAGATAATTTTTATAATGTCTTGTATTGACATTCCACTTGAAAGTAACCACAATAAATATCACTCGCAATAAATGTATGTAGCATATCTAACCCTCATGTAACGTAGGAACACTTTTTAGTTATAACATTGTCAAAGTGGTCACAAGATTAAATTCCGGTAGTAAAGGCATTAATTTAGTCATGAGTGTCTCAAAAAAAAAAATAGTTAGAACTTTGAAGGTGTTAAAAACATAATTTAAGACTTTTTTGTAATTAGATACTCCGTATTATTAACAACATTTTATACTTTTATTAAAAATTAAAGTACTTTGATAAAAAGTATTACACTCGCACACGATTGGTTGTGATGGTTGATGGTTCCCTTCGGTAAGATTGCATATGCAGATTGGTTCGCAAGGAAGGGGTAAGGTAACAAGAAGAATCGGTTGTGATGGTTCCCTGTAGTAAGATTGTAAGCAGATTGGTTTGCATTTTGCAAGGGCGGGCAATTGTAAGGTAACAACAAAGATATGCAGTGACAACCCTAAATCCACCGAATCATATTTATATTTCTATATCATAGAAGCAAAATGGATAGTGCACAGGTGGATAAATGAGCTTTGATCCTCAAATTCCAGAAATCAAAGATCAATTTCCTTTGAATTTGCCAAGCATGTCCTAAAGGCCAAACCGATAGACCATCAATAGGTATTTATATGGCAAATGCCAAATGGATTATAGAATACACATGCAAGTAATTAACCAGAAGTGCATATTATCCAAAAGTACATCAAAACTCGAGTATTTAACCACAAGTGCATATTATCCAAGAGTACATCAAAACTCGAATTGTTTACTGCAAATCCATCCAATAAAAGTTGAACATCTAAAAACAGCCGCCCCTCAGTGCTAGGACAAGGTGAAGAACAGAACCACCTTCAATGTTATAATCTTTAGCTGTCTTGTCATCTGCAAGCTGCTTGCCAGCATAGATAAGCCTGAAAGAAAGGATCACAGGGTATAATATGTGACCACCAAAATAATTAACAAAGAACTCTTGATGTTATGATATTCTTACCCACCTTGGGGTGCATCAAAGTAGAGCATGACAACTTAAGTCAGGTAGCAATGTTTTGAGTACAATTCTATGACCTCCTTTTCTAAATTCATAGGCTTATACCACTTGATCAACAGGTCATTGGCCAATAGCTATATATAAATTAATAATTTGAACCAGCCATAGCATGTTTTCAAAGTTTGGCTAATCCTATGAAAGCTACCTATAACTAATGCTCCGTAGTAAATAATCTGTGCCTAAAAATCAAGTTAATCAAAAATATAGATAAAAGTCATTGGTTTGAGTTATTTTACATTTTTAGACAGAAGTAAAAAAGCAAAAAAAAAAAAAAAAAAAAAAAAAAAAAGCAAACAAACCTTTGTTGCACAGGAGGTATTCCTTCTTTCTCCTCAACTCGCTCCTTAATCCTATCAATAGTATCAGTTGGCTCAATATCAATTTCAATCTCCTTTCCAGTGAGAGTCTTCACTTTAATCATAGTCCCTCCCCTAAGTCTCAAAACCAGGTGAAGTGTTGATTCCTTCTGGATGTTGTAATCAGCCAGAGTCCTTCCATCTTCCAACTGTTTGCCAGCAAAAATCAGTCTCTGCTGATCAGGGGGGATACCTTCTTTGTCCTGGTAATAACATACACAACCCGTATAAGTTCAACTGGAAGGCAATAATGCAAAAGTTACCAACACAAATTCCATATGCCAATCAAACAGAAGGTGAGTGCACGGCAATATGGGAAACAGAGAGAAAAATACAAAGGACAAATACAGAAGTATGCATCTATTAAATTTCATTCATCTCTCTTATTAATAAAGAAGAGGATCACACTTCATTTGGAGTTCATCCAAAATAAAACAAAAGATCTCATTCCATATATTGTTGATTGTGTTTGTTTGGACCAGCTATGGAGCTTATTTACTCCATAGCCATTTCAAAAGGAAATTTTAATATGTATTCAATGACATATTAATAACATTATCAACAATTTTTTTAAAACACACCAAAACAGATCTTTTTAGATATGTTGCAGTCTGGCCAACAAGCATAAAAATCAGCTCAATGTACTCGAAACCAAATAGGCATTATACATCATTGAATCCAAATTTTAAACAAAGACAGAGTCCATGCTCTTATCACTATAACTCATTTTCTCTCAAACCCATAACACTCTAGCAGTCTTACACACGCATATGTAAAAACAGAGATGGATGTTAAAACACTGCAGCTGTATATAACCTCTGATATTAGTGAAATTAAACAAAAGACCTAAGCCAGCAGCAACAGCAAAAGGTCAGCAGAGCAACAAACATTCAAGCCTCAAACGCTTATACCTTTATGTTGCCAGTGGCGTGTAATTAACTTCAAATATATAAGAAATATATCCACGAGAGAAAGCTTAATCCAAACAGCATCCACAATCGAACTTGGCAAAAGTATAACAAGCAATCGAGTTTGATTTCTCATTTTCTCACCACAACAACAAAAAATTCAAATAGAACTTTATACTGAAACTATAACACAGAAAACGAATCTAAGGCAAAAAAAGAAAAAAGCATAATCGAAATTCTGTATGAAGCAAAAGGGGCAGAGGGGAAATTGAGACCTGAATCTTGGCCTTGACATTGTCGATGGTGTCGCTACTCTCGACTTCGAGAGTGATAGTCTTTCCGGTTAGGGTTTTGACAAAGATCTGCATTTCTGTATTGATTCGACCACAGCACCACGCAGGAACCCAAACGCAGAGAGGAAGATATACTGCAAAGAGCGGAGAGTTCACGCTAATGAGAATATATACTATACTTGTTTATTCCCGTCCCAAATGTTTTTTTTTTTTTTTTTTTTTTTTTGGCCACATAAAGTTGTCATATTTATTTATTACTCCATAACAATTACTCTGTAACTAATTAAATGAAATGCAGATTTCTTTTCTTCTCCGGACTCCCAAAGCATTTTTTTTTAATACAGAATGTTGACTTTTATTGAAAAAGAATAGTACTTATAATATAAGTATATAATATATTTAAACATCTCGAAAATTGCAATTAAAATTTGAATCATAGAAAATGGTCTAAACCCGAGCATCATAAAATTAAAATGCACATAAATATGAGTGTCAATGAGTTAGCTAGATAAATATTTTTTAGGTGACCTTCTTCATAATGGTATTGATTAGGATTGTATTATTGTAGTCATCAATTTACACAAGAGTACATAAATGAAATATATACAGAGATATAGATACACTAAGATTAGAAGTATATCTCAATAAGAGTCCTAACAGTACTAATAAATGGATACAAGGGTTTATATTAAAGTGGACATATCGTTTAGTTTGACAACACAAAACACATAGCATACTGGACCCTAGATTGAAAATATGAGGTACATAATTCATAATCGTAAAGTACATAATTTCATAACACAAGACACATACACATGTAATATGTTTACTTGTTTTTCAAATATAATTTAGGTATATAATTTGTGTTTATAGACACGTAATTTCACAACACAAGACATTGAAATTCATAACAAATGACACAATTACTAATTGAGTCATACTTGTGTGAGACCGTCAAGAGTAATGTTGCACTTATAAAATGAAATGTAATACATTTGATGAAAAATGTAATATTTTTACATCAAAACGTAAAAGTGTTGCATTTTTCTTTAAGGGGCCGTTTGGTTCACGGAATGTTAGATTACCTTAGCAAATGTTAGATTCTTGTGTTTAGTTAAAATTGAAGTATGTAATATAATCAACAAAATTATTTTATATGCTAACATAACGTAATAAAAATAAAAAATATATAATTACAATATATATTTTTAAATAATTAAAATTAAAATGGCAAAATTTATAAATATCCAAGGTTATTTTACATTACCTAAGAAAATGAAGGGAATCACATTCCCTTCAAAATTCTATGTGGAGGGAATGTTTCATTCCCTGGGAATGTTATATTCCCTCAGATAATATGAACCAAACATAGGAATGTAAGCTCTGGAATGTTATATTCCCTTTGTTACGTAATATAACCTGAACCAAACGCCCCCTAAATGTATTACATTTTCTAATATAAGTAATAAATATTTTATTCTTGATTTAATGTTACATTTGTTAGTATAAGTATTACATTTCATATTAACTCGACCCTATCTCACACAAATTTTTACCTTACTAATTTATTTAAGATACATAATTCATATTTTTAAGGCATAAAATATCATAACGCAATGCAAAAAATCATAATACAAAACACATACAATAGAACCATAATTTATAGTGCCGACCCGCATGGGCAGCTCAACTGATCATAAAAGTAAAAATTTGAAAGAATGACCAGGGATCGAGTCTCACCAATAACCGTATGGGAGCAACGTCTCAAAACGAGGGGTAAGCAAATCCCATGTGATCTGTCTGGCCATTAAGAAGTACGGAGTAGAATTGAACATTTGAATGGGGAAAGTGGAGCCCACATTAGTATTCAAGTCAGAATATATTTTATTTAAATAATATTTAATAAAATAAATAAAAACGAGTGGAAAGATGTGATGAAGACAAACGAATGGAGAGGAAAGCGCAGGGATGTGATGTTTAGCCGTCCAATGGAAAAAAGAAGATTGAAATTTCAATATATATATATATTTTTTAAGAACTTGCAAGAGAAATTTCATGTTCATTGAATCAATGAATCATAATATAGATGTCATCACGGCTCGGTTCGAACTGAAAGTGTGAATCAGAATTGGTACTGTGCTAATCAAATCGAAATCGAAATCATTCGTACGGTTTCGGTTCTAGTTCATAACCGAACCAATAAAGTTTTGATTAAAATTTTTATAATAAACGAACCGGAATCACTGATTTTGATTCCAAACCGAGAAAAAAAAAACATGGGCCAAGCTGCATGCCTAAAGCCTGCAGCATACTGCCGCATTATCGCATTGGGCAGTGTGACAACTGATTGGCGCAAAGGCCAAACTTTGGTCTTTGCGCACAAAGGCCCAATACTCAACTTTGAGCCTTGGCGTGTTTACTTTTTCGAAAATAAATAAATATTTACAGTTAGAATCAGCGGTTCCGGTTTCGCCATTCAAGGAACCGGAATCGAAACCTTGGTCACCCCTAATTGAATAGTGTATAGGTGGAGATTTGGAAGTCATGATTTGAAGTGGTGCAGGACAAATTATTGTGTGAACCATGATCCACATAGTGTTGTATATACCATAAAAGGAATGTACATTTATAATATATATTAAAAGTACATTATTTTTTTACTAAATGTACATTATATAAAATATTGTACTTTCAGTATTGAAATAATATACTTTATCTGAATACGAAGTACTCAAGTACATTTTTAATATATTAAATGTATATTATTTTATAGTATACAAAATACAAAATATGGTTCACACAATAATGATTAGTGCTACAGTTGATGGGCTTTTATATGGGCCGAAATGTGCTGAAATGATGAGCCCATTGGATCTGATATTTTTTTTGATCCGTTTGCGTGCACCCAAACATTGAACATCTCCTGGGCTTGAAATTTGTGTGAAATGCCAAAGTGAAAAGTAATACGGAGTATTTATTTTCCCAAAAGAAGTTATTACATCATGGCGTAATTTTTGGAAGCCTGTCTTTGTGTCTATATTTATCTTTAAAAATGTATTTATTTATATGTATGGGGAACAAAATAAATGAGATGAATGTAGTTATGGTAGGTGCCTTCAATTTTTTTTTTTAATTAATATAATTTATTAGTTTTTTTTTTGTTTAAAAAATAAAGAAGCTAATTAATTAATCATAGACTGAAACGCTTACAAAGAGATTCACGGAATGGTCAAACATTCCTTACAGTCAAGATATAGAAACAACTTTCCTAGCAATGCTTAGAAAACTTGATTCACAGACTGTTTTACAAATTTGAAGCTGAATTCTTTAGATGAACTTAAAGCTTCTTTAATGATGTTGTCAAACGTACCTAAGACTAACACTGATTGAATAGTCTTGCACACCTCCCTGAATATATATTTCCATTATTCTATCCATTGACAATATCTCTATCGGGTTGAGTTGCCTATCATAGTTCATATGAATCTCTTTTTCATTGTCATATTTGTCACCCAGGATAAGATTCACATACGTCATGACCAGTTTTATCGTTTCACGCTTTATGAAGAAGAACTCGCAAAGTAAACGAGAAGAAGAAACTCGTCAAAACAACGAGAGGAAAAACACAAACTGCAAACAAAGTTAAATCAATAAAACAAAGCAAAATGAAACAACAATGCGAAAATAAAGAAGACTATGACGACTATCTTCACCTAATTATTTGTCTCCGTATAAAAACGAACAAAAATATTTTCATCTCTATGTAATAATATAATAATAATAAGGTAAAACCTTCAGCCAAGCACCTTATGTACAGATGACACCCGAGTTGGACTTCCAAATAGGAAGTTGTGAGTTCGAGTCTCGGTAGAGGTGTTATTGGCTCTTTATGCTTCATTAGGTTGAGAAAGTAGAACCAATGGTTTCCATATGGAAATAACCCTTCATTTTTTAATTTAACAATTAAAATAATGTTAGATATTTTTTTTTTTAAATATAACGTTAGATTAGTGTCTCATAATAAATTATTTCAATATAGTAAGCCACATAAATAATACAAATAGCTATCAGCTAGGGGGTTGGTTCGTGACTCTACTGGTAAACTGGTGTGGGGTTCACAATCAAGATTGACATTACGAATTGCTTCATGGCAGAGCTGTGGGGCCTAAGAGAGGGTCTACGACTCTGTCTTGAAAAATAAGTTTACCGGATTATTGTTGATATGGATTCCTAATCGGTTGTTGATCTTATACGGGTCGATAAAGATGGAGATAAAACTTGTTGCTCCTTATTGGAGGACTACCTCAACATGGCGGGCAAGTTTGACATAACCCCAAATTAGCTAATCGGTTGGAAGGGAATCAATGTGCCGACTTCTTAGCTAATTTGGTGCAAAGCGAGAACTGGGGTACTTGTGTGTTCAGTGGCGTCGTTTCAGAAGGGTTGGGTCCTCTTCTCGCTCAGGATACTGGCAGAGCTATCATTCATATAATTAGATAGTTTTGAGGCTTAACCTCTCAAAAAAAAATGCCAATCGTTTATTTCATATAATTATACTATTTTAGCTTGTTTGATTAATTAAGTATATCATTATTTTTAATTTAAGGATCCAATTGCATGTTAACGTATGAATTAATGATTTATTTGACTTTTTATTCCCATTTATAATGGTGAAGGGAATAGTAAAAGACACATTTTTTAAACTGTACAATGATGACTAACACAGGCTTTGAAATATTTTTTCTTGTGTGATGAAGCACTTAAAAAAAATTGGGTCAAATATAATGCAATTAAGAAAAAAAGAAAACGAAAAGGGGGTGAATAGTAATAATAAAAGTAAGATGGGATTGAGGAAAGAAAAGGAGCTAGCAATAAATGTAGCATTGAAGGTTAGAGTATAGAAGCATGCTGCATATTCATCCAATCCATGATTAAAATACATTAAGATATGAAAGGAGTAATATATATATATATATATATATTCTTGGAGAGAGGGAAAGCATAAATAAAAGTGGGAAGGCAATAAATGCGAAATGAAAGCGCCCCGCCTCATAAATGCCTCCTCCTCCTCTTTCTCTTTCAAAGTCTCGCCATATTTCACTTCTATATTGCCCACCTCTTACTTTTTGTACCCTTCTTACATTTATTTCTTCATTAATACAGGCAGCGCTAGCTACGTACGAGAATTATGATTTATCCTTCCTTCCCCACTCAACTTGTTCTT